GTATCATGTTAAGCGAAATGAGTCAGAAAGAGCGGGATAGACACAGAAAGATTGCATTCATCTGGGGAACATAAAGCAACAAAAAGGGAGAGTAACACCCAGGAATGGCTGAGATTAGTACCAGGAATTTTGCTCCATGAATGGAAGGCCAGCCACAGGCTCTAGGTGAAAAGGAAGCTCAGATGGAGAAGAGAGTACCAAATGAAGGGTGTTGTCAGGGTCCTCCCAGGGTGGGAGAAGCATGCTAAAAGTAGTCGATAGACCAAACATGATTGCCACTCAAAGCCTCTCTTGCAAAACACAGTACCCAAAAGAAGAGAGAGAGAACAAGGGGGAATACCCTGCCACAGAGGCAGGATGGGACGGGGGGCGGGGGGATGAGGGTGGGGGGGGGATGCTGGGACCCATGGGGATGGATGAGGGGCACTGGTGGAGGGATGGGCACTTGATCATTGTATAACTGAAACCCAAGCACAAAATTTGTAAGCCTATAACTGTACCTCATGGTTTTTCACTAATAAAAAAAGAAAAAAAGAAAAAAAAAGAAAAGATGAAGTTATGAAATTTACATACAAGTGGTACAATATGGAAAGTATCATGCTAAGCGAAATGAGTCAGAAAGAGAGGGATAGACATAGAAAGATTGCATTCATCTGGGGAATATAAAGTAACAAAATATGAGATTAATACCCAAGAATAGCTGAGATCAGCACCAGGAGCATTACTCCATAACTTAGAGGCCAGCCGGGTATCCTAGAGGAAAGGGCAGTTCAGATAGAGAAGGGAACACCAAATAAAGGGTGTTTGGAGGATCCTCCCAGGAGGGAAGATGCATGTCGAAAGTAGACTATGGACTGAACATGTTTGCCACTCAATGCCTCTTTTGCAGACCACAACACCCAAAAGGAGAGAGAGAACACAGGGGATTGCCCTGCCACAGAGGCGGGGGGGGGGGGGGGGGGGGGGATGGGGGTTGGGGGGGGGATTTTATCCATGGTGGTGGAAAAAGGGCACTGGTGGAGGGATGGGTATCTGCTCATTGTACAATCGAAACTCAAGCACAAAAAATTGTAAATCTACAACTGTACCTCATGGTGTTTCACTAATAATAAAAAAAAAAAAAGAAACAAACAAAAAAAAAAGGTTTAAGATGCTGGCATGCCTGTGACTGACTCAAATTCTAATCTCTGCACTGGACATGGTTCCCAGGATAGCCAAGGGTCACTCCTGAGCACAGATCCAGCCCCTGATCACCACTGGGTGTGGTACAAACCCCAGCCAACCCCCCCCCCATAGAAAAGGTTTAAAATTGGAAACAGAGAGAGAGCATCGAGGCTGCATTGCATGCAACCAACTCAGGCTCCCCCCAGCACCACATATGACCCCCAGAGCACCAGAAGAAATCCTTGAGTGCCACTGCATACAGCTGACCCGGGTTTGATTCCCAGCATCCCTGCATATGATCCCCTGAGCACCGTCAGGAGTAATTCCTGAGTGCAGAGCCAGGAGTAACCCCTGGGCATCACGGGTGTGACCCAAAAAGGAAAAAAAAAAGCCTCCATGGACTTGGAGACTTGAGTCAGATATGGGGCTTTTGCTCAAAGCCCCCGAAATCTCATTTAGGCCATTCAACACATTCTGTGAGGAGTCAGGAGAGTAGGGGAGCCTCTCTCTCTGCACCCGAAAGGCATTGCCTGGGGGAACCTCCAAGAAGCCAGGTGCCCACAGACCTGGTCTCCAGAAATGGCCTGAGCTGGAACATTCTGTGGTCCCAACAGCCACAATGCATCCTGGGCCTGATCTGGCTTCCTTCCGACTCTTATTTTAGTTTTTTCTTTTTGGGTCACACCTGGCGATGCACGGGGGTTACTCCTGGCTTTGCTCTCAGGAATTACTTCTGGTGGTACTCAGGGGACCATATGGGATGCTGGGAATCGAACCCGCATCGGCTGCATGCAAGGCAAACACCCTACCCGCTGTGCTATCACTCCAGCCCCTTCCTTCCGACTCTTGCTTTCTGCCCAGTAATGCTACAGGCAAGCAATGAGAGAGGGATTCATAAGGCAAGGCTGGATCAGGGCCGTGCCAGAACTTGGCTGCTGTTTCTCTCCCCTCAGATTCTCATTGATTCAGTCTGGGGAGACAGCACAGTGGTCAGGGCGTTTGTCTTGCACACAGCCCAGCCAGATTCATTCCCCAGCAGCTCACATAAGTCCCCTGAGCACCACCAGTAGTGAACCTGAGCACAGCCAGGTGTGGCCCTGAAACCAAAAATAAATAGAGATTCTCATTGATTTCCCTCCCACTCTAGACCTCAGCTTCCCTTTTCCTATTATCAGTGGTTGCTGTTTATTTAGGGCATCGGATGCTTTTCTACCCCACACGCTAGCGTTTCCAAACCCATTCATCTGCTTTCCAGCCAAAGCTCACTTGACCGTGAAAATCTCACGGCACTTACAGGAATTTAAAAAATTAAAAAAAAAAAAAGGAACTCCTTTGCAGTTTCCTGGTATAAAATAAGAACAGTAACCGTGTGCCCTCCCTCTGATGCATCTCCTCTGTTGGGTAATGAGTTCGCCTGCCAGCATTACTGTCAGGGAACTTCTCTTCAGGATCGCCAGGTCCCCAGAAGTGAGGGTGGGCAACATTCATCTCCCAGGAGTTAGAATCCTTGAAGGCAGACCATTCCCATTTCAGCCAGCATACCTCCCCACTCCCGAGATGTCTCTGTTACCTTCATTTCAATAAGCTGGGGTTTTCTAGTGGGTGTTTACTTATCTCCTTCCTTTGTGGAGTTGCCTGCGTTTGCTCTTCAGCACATGCAACCGTATCACCCACAGGGTGGCACAGAGCCGCAGCACCCAGCACCATGCCTGAGAATCACCTAGAAGATCGCTTCCTAGAGATGCGTTTGCTCTGTCGGGTTTGAGATTGCTTTCTGCTCCATTTGAACAAAGATTAGAAAAATAGAAGAGATTTGACATGTTGAACTTGTAGTACTTGAACTTCGTGGAAGTTCTCAGAATGTTTTCAAGGACAGTATTTTGGGGGGAATTGTCCATGAATAGCTTTCTCTCGTGTTTCTGGACTATTCTCAGGGCTTACTGTGGGGGTTACTTGGGAGCCCATGTGGTATCAGAGATAAGAACCTAGATCAGACTGCTAAAGAAAATGCCTGGAATTTGTAAATCAGGGGTTGAAACTGTGGAACAAAATAACAAAGAGAAAATATTCAACTGAAGAAATGCGTGGGATCTGAAGCTTGAAGCTGTGTCATGAGGTGCAGTATTCTGTATGGCTCTCAGGGTTATATACCAAAGGCAGAATGGAAAGTCAGAATTGCACATGGGGACAGAGAGATCCGTGAGAGGGTTGAGCAAATTCTTTGAATGCCGGAGATCCAGACTCCATCTCAGATACCACACGGGCTCCCAACTGCCCCCACAGTATCCCTGAGAAAAGCCCAGAAACACATGAGAAAAAGCTACGCGTGAACATATCCCCTGAAAAATTGCCCTTGAAAACATTGTGAGAAGTTCCATGAAGTTCAAGTACTTTTTTCAACACGTCCAAATCACTTGTATTTTTTGTGTGAGGGAACAGACCACACCGCCACGATCTTCCCCCCTGAGGACTCAGCCCAGGCATCGGATTGTGTGTAGAAGCCAGCGGGCATGAAGATGCTGCTTGTAGCTCAGGAATCACCATTGTCCCTACAAGAGGGCCATGGGATAAGCCCTACAGTGAACACGGGATTCACTTCTCTGCCCTGTGGGGGTCACACTAGGACATCTATTAATGTGGCATCCTGTCAGCGAGGTGCCCACACTACTCTTCCTGTCCTCCACTCTCCTGCTTGGTGTTTGTGGCAGGGCTTCCTGAGCGGTGCCCAGGGACGCCATGACTCCCTCCTGGTGAGCTCAGTGTGAGGGTCTGAGGATGCAGGGCTGCTCAGGCCCTGTGGTGCCATCCCAGCAGTGTGAGGGTGGTGCTGGAGGGACCAACGATGCTGGGGGTCGACCCTGGGCCACCCATATGCAGGACAAGCCCATTAACTCCTGTGCTATGTCTCCAGACATCTGTCATTTTAAACTACAAGTGAGTGTGACTGAACTCACTTGCAGTCACAAATATGACATGCTTTGTCAGGAGGGTCATTGGGCTATGATGTCATTTTAGTCATGTGTTGGAAATAACTGTCTCAGCTCCCAGAATTTGAGCCTGTTTCAGAAGCCCTAGAAGTGGGAACTGAATGTGGCAGGATTCCCGAGCAGGGCTGAGTGTGGCTCAGAGAGCCACAGTGTGTCCTTCCATTGGACATAATTCCATATACTCTTAGTATCCTGTGATGCCCAATGGGTATCCACTGGGATACTCGCTTTTTTTGCCTCATCCTCCAAAAACCTCTAGATTAAGTTCCCTCTGACATTACATGGCACCTCCTCTGCCTCTGATATCAGTTGTCCATCATATGTTGGTCCCAAATTGACAGATGACCCTGGCATTCAAAACAAGTCACACACACACACACACACACACACACACACACACACACACACACACACCTGCATCATTTTACAACAAAACCAGGCCGCCTCTCCCCAGCCAAGAAGGTTAGGTCCCCTCTGAGCTGCAGGCCAGCCTTGTACAGTGCTGGAGCCAGAGATAAAACAGTAAAACCTGGGCAGAAAGGCCCCAAGGCCCAGGAAATGCCAACGGAATCTTTTGCAAGGCAGCGTTCTCAGTTTCCCTGAGAGCAGAAGCCTTTGCTGACTGGTGCAGTGGCTTTTCCCGGAGACCCCTGGGGTAACATTAAAATCTGCCCATCCAGTTTTGAGCCCAGCAAGGATTTTCAGGCGCTTCAGATTCTGTGGGCCAGGTGGGTTGAACTTTGGCAGCCAGTGATGTGGTACCTTTTATAGCCCTCAGGTGATCGCTCACCTCGAAAAACCAGTCTCAGAGTCAATATAGCTTTAACAAACAATTCTCTTGTTTTACAGAGAGAGGATGCAAGCCATGGAGAGACAGATTGCCAGTTTAACTGGCCTGGTTCAGTCTGCACTTTTTAAAGGGCCCATTACAAGTAGTAGCAAAGATTCATCTAGGTAAAAAGAAGCAAAGAAACCAATTTTAAAAATCCAGTCAGTATGTTTCCTGTTAATCATTAAGATCATTCATTCAAATCCGTTCTCTTGTATCATTTCAAACTGGAAATATTCACCTCTATGAATCATGGTTTGTTGGGGGTGTTTGTTTGTTTGTTTGTTTTCCTTCTGGCAATTCTTGGTTGAAGGTAACACTTTGGCCCAAGAAGAGGGAATGTGTTTCTCAGTGCATGGAGCTTCATGGAACACCGTGCAGTGTCTGCATCCCCATCCATCGCCATCTGAGCATCCCGCGTGCTCCCAAGCCGCATTCCATCTGCAGTGGCAGAACCCATGGAAGCCTTTCCCGTCCCAGCCACTAGCAGCGCGGTTGCTGCCGCCCCCACCACCGCCACATTGCTTCATTCCATCCTCAGCTGCTGCTAATTACTTAGAACGGTGAATGGCCTTTTGGAAACTGTTTTGCTGACTCTCTTTTTCTTTGATTCAGTGAGAAAATGATGAAAACCGCAGCCAGTAAGCACCACACAGAGAGTGCAGGTAAGTGTTTGGAGCCTGCCAGCTTGGCTTGTTTCACAAATGCTTGGCCTCTCCCTGACTCCCTCCTGGTGTGATTCCTGAGGCTTCTCCAGCAATCTCAACACTCCCATTCATCATGGATTCTCTCCCTCGTCCATGCTGTGGCCATTTGTCCCACAAGGGCCTGGTACTGGGCAAGGCTGGTGGTTAGCTCAGACCTCCCCGAATCCTGCAGGGGAAATGCCAATGTAGGGCGGCAAGGAAATTAGATTTTCCTAGTAGAAAGGAAAAGTACAGGATGCATGGTTAGCCAACAGGTCTCACCCAAACCAAAGACATTTCCCTGAGGAAGTAATTTAAACAGAGGCCAGAGGAGGAATTGCATATAGTGAAGGGAGAGGAAGGGGAAGAGCCAACAAGAATAGGGACAAGCCTGTGTAGATGGTGGGAGAATGAATCTGGGTATTACACAAAGTGCAAAGAGAAGACATTGAAAGTCTCTGTCCCGGGCAGGATCTCGGCCCGACAGCAGCGTGGACATAGACAGGAAGAGATGAAAGAGTGAGTCCACGCCATTAAGTCCAAATGGATTTGGGGCTTGACCAGGCCTGCTTTGAAGTGTCAGCTCTCCCCACACCCCCCCTTGAGTCCCTCAAGGGGCCCCAGTTGTCTTCCTAGTGGGGGGTGACTAACATCCTGATTTGTTTGATGTCTTGCTTACCCTGCAGAGTAGGTACTCTGATCCAAAGCAGGCCCCTTTCAAAACTAGAGATTCTGGGACCCGAGCAGTAGTACAGTGTATAGGGCACTTGCCTGGCATCTGGTCGACCTGGATTCACTCCTTGGTACCCTCAGCACCCCCAGGAGTGATCCCTGTACACAGAGCTAGGAGTAAGCCCTGAGCACCACCAGGTGTGACCTAAAAATCAAAGCCAAAGGTACAAGGTTTTTTTTGTTGGGCTACTGAGTTGTACCAGAAGCATGTGGCAAGTTGGGGGAAGCCCAGAGTTTGGAGAGACCACTGAAAACTGTGCAGCCTGGGAGGGTGGGTTTCCACTGAAACCCTCTGACAGCTTGTGCCCACTCTTCATTGGGTTTGTCAGTTTACTTAACCATCAATCATAACCTTCGCTAGAGTCAGCTAATTATCTTGTGGAAATTGCTAGACTTGTCTCAGAAGCAATTTTGCCAGTTCAGACCAGAGATATAAAATGGTGGGGAAGGTATTGCCTTGCTTGTGGCTGACCCCAATTTAAATCCCTGTTCCGTAAGCATTGCCAGGAGTGATTCCTGAGCACAGAGCCAGGATGAAACCCTAAGCACCACTGGGTGTGGCCCCAAAACAACAAGAAGAAAGTTGCCAGTTTATTTAGGGGACATTTAGATCCAATCAAAACTTAAGTGGCGGGGAGGGCAGAGGAGCCTACTGAACTAGAAAAAACAGGATGGAATGAAGAGGAACAGAGCTGAGGATGAGGGCCATGGTGAGAAGTTGGTCCAAAGGCACTGACTTTGAGCTAGAAGAGAAATAGGTGCTGGGCCCTATTGGCCATCACGGCAACTAAATACTTGAATGATACTCAACCAGATGCTTGAGGGGTTCCAAGAGAATCTTAGATGTTCTCACAGCACGGCAGAGAGAAGCTGGGAATTAAGTGGCTTGAAGGATGCACAAGCCAATAAGCTTTTGTGCTGTGGCTAGCACGTTGCAGTGTCTGTGTGTTAAAGCTAGACACAGCCTCCCTGAAACTTAAGCAGTCGTGACCAGTAAAGTTGACTGAAATAAAGGAACCTACTGAACACCCCAGCTTGGTTCCTCTGGATCCTGTCCTGGAAATGATACATTTTCAACAGTGTTGCTGTAACAGTATATGCTGTTTCTGTGTTCTCCTTCCATTTTTGATTCTTTAGTTTTGGAGCCACACTCAGCTGTGCTCAGGTCCCACTCCTGGCTCTGTCTTCAGGGATCACTCAGGTGGTGCTCGGGGAACTGTGTATGGTGGTGAGGGTCAAAGCGGGGTCACGGTGTGTAAGGCAAGTGCCTTACTTCCTGTGTCATCTCCTCGGTACCTATGTTCTCCTTTTATTTCTTTTCCATTTGTGGTAAAACACTGGTGATGATAATGACTTAATCACTTAATCACTTAACTTCCCGTTAGTCGTCGATTTGCTCGAGCGGGCGCCAGTAACGTCTCCATTTGTCCCTGTCCCGTGCTAGTGTAGCCCAATGGCATCTCTTCGCTCCGGGAACATGGAGGGCCTCAAACCGATCGTTCATGATCTTGACAAAGAAGTCTGACCATCTGGTAGGTGGGCGGCCACGCGGTCTCTTGACATCCCGTGGAATCCAATCAGTAACAGCTCTAGTCCAACGGTCGTCTTTAAATCTCATTACGTGACCAGCCCATCTGATTTTCGACACCTTGGCAAATGAGACAGCGTCCCTGATCCTTGATCGTCGACGGATGTCAGAACTCCGGATTCGTTCTCTCATTTGAGTGAAACGTGATATTCCAAGCATAGCTCTTTCTATTCCTCTTTGGGAGACCTGAATGGCGTTCTCATCTTATTTGCGTAGGGCCCAGGTCTCTGAGGCATATGTTAATGCAGGAAGAACAGTGGAATCAAAGAGATGTGCCCGGAGCCGGAGGTTCTTCGTCCTCTTAGCTATTTCTTCGACGTTCTTGAAGGCGTTCCAAGCCGCTCTCTTCCTCCTGCGCAGCTCGGGTGCCAGGTCATTTGTCATGTTGACCTCTCGACCTAGGTACACATAGCTGTTGCATTCGGAGATGGTCGTTCCATTGAGAGTGAATGGGGCGTCAGGAACAAGGCTGTTTCTCATAAACATTGTCTTTGTAAGATTCAGCTGTAGTCCTACCTTTCCACACTCACGGTCAAAGTCGGCCAGCATTTGTGCCGCTTGGCTGATGTTTGGTGTTATTAAAACAATGTCATCAGCAAAGCGGAGGTGGTGTAGTTGCCGACCATCTATCTTCACTCCCATTCCTTCCCATTCCAGTCGTCGCATGATGTTCTCGAGGGTGGCACTGAAGAGTTTCGGTGAAATGGTATCACCCTGCCGCACCCCTCTCTTGACATCAACGATCACTTCTTTGTAGAATGGTGAGATCCTGGTAGTGAATCCGCAATACAGCTCACGGAGGATCCTGATGTATTGGGCTTGAATGCCCTGATTGGCTAGGGCTTCAATGACCGCTTCCGTCTCAACAGAATCAAAGGCCTTCTTTAAATCAATGAACGTTAAGCAGAGCGGCATCTTGAACTCCCGAGAAACCTCAATGAGCTTGGTTATCGTGTGGATATGGTCGATGGTGCTGAATCCTTTGCGGAACCCTGCTTGCTCACATGGTTGTCCTTCATAGTGTTCTGCCAATCCTATTCAGGATGACTCGAGTGAACAACTTGTAGATGACAGACAATAGGCAGATCGGGCGATAGTTGCCAATGTCATGGATGTCTCCCTTCTTGAACAGTAGTACGGTCCTGCTGGTTTTCCATTGAGACGGAACCTTGCATTCAGACAGGTAGCGAGTGAAGAGCCGAGCCAGTGTATTGATGAGTACTGACGGCAGGTTCTTCAGGTGTTCAGGTCTGACCTTGTCTGGGCCGGGTGCTGTTTGCTTCTTTACTGACGAAATGGCGTGTCGGATTTCGGAAGGGAGAACGTTGGGAACGACATACCCATCCTGTGGAATTTGGTATGTCAGCAAGTGGACATGGCTATCGAAGAGATTTGAGTACAAGTCATGGATAATCTTCTCCATTGCCGTTCTGGAGGATGTGATGGATCCATCAGGACGTCGGAGGGCAGTCATCTTGGTCTTATAGTTGGTGAAAGACAGGCGGGCTTTACGAATACTTTTCCCGGCTTCTGCCGCATCTACCAGTACTTCTGCTCTTCTCTCTTTGAGGTCTTCCTTGATCGCATCTCTGCACTGCTTTGCAAGCTCAGATGTTAGCTTGCGGTTGCCTGAGGCATGCGCCAAACCACGAATTAGCTCAAGAGTTTTCGAAGATAGGCGACTTTTTGTGGCTATCTCTCTCTTGGCGTTCCTCGCACATTCATGGAGGTGCTGAACCAGTCGATCATATTCCTCGTCAATGTTGTCAACAATGGCATCTTCCCATGTTGCCGCAATAGTACCAAAGAGTTCCCAGTTGGTGGTCATTCTGGGAGTTCTCTTTTTGAACTTTGCAGCCCTTTCTCCCCGCTCTGTGAAGTAGAATTTTACACGAAGGAGACGGTGGTCCGATCCCGTTCGAAATTTTGGGACAACAGCGACATCAGTCAGGCAAAATCGTCGATTGAATATGATGTGGTCTATTTCGTTGTGGAATCGTCCACCGGGAGACTCCCATGTCCATCGTTTAGATTCTGCCTTCTGGAACTGTGAGTTACCATGAATGGTCTTGGTCGATATGATGAACTCAGACACTACTTCCACTACCCAGCCGTCGCCACACTCCAGGACGCTTTCCGGACCCGCGCGGCAGCTCCGGCCGAGACCCATGCACAACTGAAGACCCACAGAACAAGATAAGCGGAACTCTCTGAGACCTCAGACTCCAGGCTCGGCGGACCCAGGGACAGAGCTTCTCTGCTTGCTCCCACCACCACAGGTGACAAAGGGATTCTAATCAGGAGCCCCACCCTACCCTGCCCTGTCTGCTTCCATCAACCACCCAGGGATCGAATTGTGCACAGGAGACCCACCCTACCCAGATAAATACCCCACTGGCAGACTTCCACTCTCGACACTACTTCCACTACCCAGCCGTCGCCACACTCCAGGATGCTTTCCGGACCCGCGCGGCCGCTTGCGGCTGCGCGACACATCATAAGACACTAAATACCCATCTTCTGGAATTGTCGTACCATATTTGATAGGGTTCAAATATGGTAACACCTACAAGGGTGATTAGAGGTCACCCCAAAAGCCTCTATACCTCTCGGAAAGACTGGCAAGCTACCGAGAGTATTCCGCCCGCACGGAAGAGCCTGGCAAGCTATCCGCTGTATATTCGATATGCCAAAACCAGTAACTACAACTGGTCTCATTCACCTGACCCTGAAGGCTTCACCGACATGGCAGCACTGAGAAGGATGAGAAAGGAGAGGCCGACAAAATCTCAAGGCCGACCTAGGCTGCCACAACGAAGGAAGACAAAAATGATCGTCTGTACTTTCAATGCACGTACGCTAGCATCAGATGCATCCATCGAGGACCTGATGGTACAAGCGCGAATGATCAAGTACGACATCATTGGTCTGACCGAGACAAGAAGGCACAAATCTCACCATGCCGTTTTCGACACTGGAGAAGAATTGTTCCTCGGAACATGCGATAAAAGAGGTGTCGGAGGCGTCGGTGTCCTTGTCAACACAAACTTGGCCAAGAGCATTGATTCATTCGAATGCCTAACAACCCGAATCGGACGTTTACATTTGAATAGATGTGGCTCACTGCCTGCAGTTTCTATCTTCCTTGTCTATGCACCAACATCTCATTATGATGAAAGAGAAATTGAGAAGTTCTACATGGAGCTAGAGAAGTTCTATAAAGAAGACCACACCTTCTACAAGATCATTGTGGGTGATTTTAATGCCAAGATAGGACCGAGAAGATCAGCTGAAGAACTTCACATCGGGACCCATGGCCTAGAATGGAACGAACAGGGTGAGAGACTGTCTGAGTTCATCATGTCGGTGATGATAATATCAGCAATAATGGCAGTCCCAGGAACTGTGAGCATTTCTGCTGCACCAGGCACTGTGGACTTTTGTTTTTGCCTTTGAGGCCACACCCAGAGGTGCTCAGTGCTTATTCCTGACTCTGCACTCCAGGATCACTCCTGGCACCCTCGGGGAGCTCTGTGGAGTACCACAGGTCGAACCCAGATCTCGCCAGTGCAAGCAAGAGCCCTGCCCTCAATACTGTCTCTCCAGCCCCTGTACCAGGCCTGTTGGATGCAAGAACTCAGGAACTGATACAGGCTCATAAAACAGCTGCCATAATTTCCATTTTCCAAATGAAACTGAGCACAAGGACGTATGTGACACATGAGCAAATGGCATTACTCGCAGCCCCTCTTTGTAATTTATCTCCTTTTGTGTTTACAGTCCATCATCCCTTTCAAGCTTTGTGGGTGGTTGCATCTCTTTGTTTTAAACCTTTAAGTGAATTTGACATGGGGTGGGGGAGGAAGTGAGGAAGGAGTAAGTATCATTTCCTTGGGATGTCATTTTCCTAAGTGGCGTGGATCATTCCAAAGGGACCGGCCATCCAGGAGCTCTGGGCTCCTGTTGGTAGATTCCAGAAACGTCGAGCCAATTTGCCACCAACAAAGCAGTCTCAGGTCTGCGCCCACCCATTGCCCCCCAGAGTCTTTGGCGGGTTTGGTCTTTGTTGTTTTAATGTATTGGGGCAAGATGTGGTCCCGGGGCTGTCGTTGCCATAGCAACCTTGTGAGTTTGCAAAATAGACAAATCCTCCAGAATTCTAGGAAGTAAGCTGCAAGGCGAGAACTCTGAGCCCCGTCCAGTAGACAAATAGAGTCGAGGAGCTTGTTTGGCAAAGGGAAAATGAAAAAGGGCAACACCCAACTTCCTGCTGCTTTCAGACCGTTTCATTCACTGTGGCTAAAACAGAGGGTACTGTCCATGTATTCTGTCCTGTAACGCACACATAACCCTCATACGAAGGTGTCAGCCACAAGCCTAGTCACACTTACCTGACCGTCCCAAAGCTGATGTTCTTTTGTAGCAGGGTGCATTCATATTATAAAATTGTCATTTAATAATAATATGTTAAGATATAGATTGGACGAGAGAGATGGTGCAGGGATTGAGGCTGACTGATGATGCTGACCCTGGTTTGAACCACATTTGTTCCCTTGAGCATCAGCAGGAGCGATCCCTGAACACAGAGCCAGGAGTAAGCACTGAGTACCACCAGGTATGGTCTCTAAACCAAACAGACAAATAGATATACTTGGTTGAGGTCAGTTGTGAGTGAATTTGTTTATTTTCACCAGAGAAGTACCTTGATCGTATCATTCGTACAAAGGATGTTGGATGAAAAGAGAGAAAGACAAAGAGTGTGTCTTTGAGTGAGTGTGTGTGTCTATGAGTGTGTGTATAAGTGGTTGTGAGTGTGTGAGTGTGTGCACGCAGTGAACTCAGGATACTTGTCATGGAGCTTGCTATGTTAATTCTGACCAATGACCTTTTCCCAAGTGCCTTCACATTGGAGAATATTGTTTTGAATAATTACGGTGTGGCAACTCTTGTCCCTCTGCGGGGACAGGAGTGGTCCATCAGGGGTGAGGCGAGGTGCTTCAGCCAGAATTTGATCCAAGCTGTGACTAGTGATGATGAAAGTGGCTGCTTCTAATAATAACTTCAGAATCATCTCGCTCTGTTTGGTACCTTTGTAAATTTTTGTTTGGTTTGGTGGCCACACCCTGCAGTGCTCCAAGGCTGTTCCCAGTATGGTGCTTGGGGTTGCTTTAGTGGTGCTCAGAGGACCACGCAGTGGGGGAGAACCTGGGTCTCCTGCTTGCAAAACATGTGCTCAGTGCTCTAAGCTGCCTTCCCTGCCCCTGGGCAGATTCTTAAAGTGCGTTTTCATTCATTCCCTGAGTTCTACAAGTGCAACTGTGAGAGCTTGAGCTCTAAGAGAAACTGGTGTGCTGTGGGGCTCTGAAGCTGAGCATGTAAGAGGACAATTGTCGGGCACTCCCTCAATCTAGCATGCCACCTGGAGCCCACGGCAGCTTATCTGCCATGGCTTAGCAGGGCTGTGTGTGCTGGGGAAAGAAAGGTTCCCTTGGGTGCTAACCCAGGATGGAAAGAGGCCACATCCCAGGTATGCAATGCAGCTGTAGGGCCCCGTCCTCCAAGGCCAGCGTGGCCCATGGTTGAAAACATCCCATGGTGCTGTTTCTTGTGAGAAAGATCTGAACGGCTAGCCCGTGTGTGTGTGTGTGTGTGTGTGTGTGTGTGTGTGTGTAACAAAGAGAGGGAGACAGACAGGGAAGAGAGGAGGTAGTAGAAAGAGAAAATGGGAAAGGAGGGGGGGTGGAGAGAGAGAGAGGCATTTACTCAGGAGAGTGGAACCATCAAACTGCTTTATCTTAACAGTGAAATGGGGACCAGAGAAATAAATAGTACAGGGACTTAAGGCACTTGCCTCAAGCACAATCAGGAGTGATCCCTGATCACAGAGCCCCCAGCAGCACCCCAGGGGTAAGCCCTGAGCACCACTGGGTGTGTCCCATCAACCCCCCAAAACTGTGAAATAGCATCTTCTTTTTATCCTTTTGATTCTTCCGTCTTGCTGGTCCTGTTAGTGCTACTTGGGATCCTTTCTGAGTCATTTTAAAGCAAATTTGGCCCAAATACACCCATTCCAAATGGACTTAGGAAATATACAAAGATTACTGAAGTGAAAGTTGAGCAAAAGTTTATGGCAGCTAGAAAACTTTGCAGAAGAAGTTTCTGCTGCCTTCCCAGGATTGCTCTCCCAAAGAATATTTGCATCTGACCTTTTCGCTAATGTGCAGAAAGCCCTCTTCCTTTGGTTTGGAGACACGACATTCAGGGGTAGACCAGTTCTCATCTGCTTCTCCTCGGAGATTCCCCTGAACCTCTGCCTAGAATTGAATGCATGTTCTTGGGGTCTGTCTGCCTGTGAGAAAGTCATGGAATTGCCTTGTGTTAGCTCCAAAATTTTTTTTTTAATTTTTATTTTGGGGAGGTAAAGGGGACGACGCCGGTCAATGCTCAGGGGTTATTCTTAGCTCTGCACTCAGGAATCATTAGCAGTACTTGGGGGACCATATGGGATGCCGGGCACCCCACCCTGCTGTGCTCTCTCCAGCCTCAGTCCCAGAATTTTAAAAAAATTTTTTATTAATGAATCACCATGAGGTACAGTTACAGACTTACAAACTTTTCGTGCTTGCATTTCGGTCATACAATGATCGAGTACCCATCCCTCCACCAGTGCCCATTTTCTACTACCAATGGTCCCATCATCCCTCCCACCACTCCAGTCCCAGAATTTTTAACCCTATATTTGTATTATAAAATTTGAGCTAGGCACTTTACAGGTCTTCAGATAGAAAAAGTACCAAAAGCTCTGGAGAGCATTATTTTGTTTTAATTCAGAATTCCTGGAGAAGGAAACGAGTTGCTTAGAGAGACCAAGACTGTGTGTCGGGGGACTCGCCACAGAGGACTCAGAATTTCTGCTGCTCTCTCTCATAGGAACGCCCTCGGTTTCTGCAGGGAAGATGCTGGGTGCCCCGGAGTCCTCAGGGGCCCCCAGCAGCACCCCAGCCCTGCACGCCAGCCTGCTCCACATGCGCCGCAGCGTGGCCGAGCTTCGACTCCAGCTCCAGCAGATGCGACAGCTCCAGGTACAGTCCTTAGCCTGCAGGGGGGGATTGGGGGGGGGGGGGGTGTTCGTAATGCTCAGCAGCAGCTCCTCCTGGGTGATGCTTCAGAGACCAGGTGGTGCCTGAGCTCCAACCTGGACCTCTTGCCTGCAGAGTGGTAGCCACTGCATATTTCCAGTTGCAAGCTGCATCTTCAGATTGTCTGTGCTCTTAGGTGGTGGGGGGAGGGGTGTAGCATAAAACCTCCCGCATCTGTCCTTATCAAGACAAGCTAAAAGGAGGAAGCCCCATGGAGCATTTTCACAGCCAGTTCAGACTTCCCTCCCTGCTCCCAGCCACAGTGCTTGCTCCTTTCCAGTGAAAGGGCAAAAAAGTAGAGCAGACTGGGATGCCCTTAGAAATCCAAGGTGAGACTCAAGGAGCGATTCCTCAGGAAAGGGGCCGTGCTGGAGGACTGGTGGAGAGAACCATCTGCATTTGCTTTGGGCCGTGTGCTCTGGCCTCTCCAGTAGCAGAATGGGCATGAGGCAGTGTGGCTCACTGCTTTCTGCTCACCCCAGCCATTCTCACCAGCTTAGAGAGGTGCCTCATCTGAGCATTGCTACTGGGCAAACCCTCCCAAGGGCCAGTGGTGTGTCCCCCATGTATGTCCCCTGAAGAGCTGGCGAGCTTCAAACTGGGAAGGAAAGGGCTTCAGATCGCATGGAGGACTTGAGCCCCCTATGTCTTCCCTCCCTTGGTTAATGCGCAGGAGAAAATGTCCCTTTGTGACCTCACTACCAGGAAGATAGACACATTAGACACCTGCAACCAGTGGGCCCACTGGCTCTGCTTCGTGCTTGGGTCCTGGCAGGCAGCTGTCTCTTAGGCCTTATCTCACTGACCCAAGGAGGTCATTTCAATCCTTTCCTGTGTCCTGTCATCTGCAAAGTGTCCTCCCCCACTCCTCCACTCCCATCCTTTTGCATTTTCTTCAATTCACTTAAACTCACTCTAAAGTCACTTGGCAGTAAGCTGAAAAGCAGAGTGGACAAAGTCAGAGATCCACACGGTGTCCAGGCAGGGACTGAAGCAAAGTGGAGGAGGGAGGGGCACCCCACCCCCTCTCACCGACCGTACCCCCTACCCCCACGAGCTCTGATTCTGATTAAATTAGAAGGCAACCCGAAAGGATTGGTTTTAGATCATTAGCTGCTAGTTAGCTGCATTTTGAAATGCTGGCTAGAGCAATAGTACACCGGAGAGGGTGTTAGTCTTGCATGCGGCCAACCTGGGTTCAATTTATGGCATCCCATATGGTCCCCCTAGCACCAGCAGGAATAAATACCTGAGTGCAGAGCCAGGAGTAACTGCTGAGCATTACCGGGTATGGCCCCAAAATGCCAAAAGTAAAATAAAATGCTGGCTCGTAACTCAAGACCAAATATTTAGTGCTTTTCAGGCCAACAGCTACACCTGCAAACAGGAAGGTGCCCCGCCCCGTGCCCTTCCTCCCTGCCCCGCCCCCCTTTCATGGAGGGTACACCCTTCTCTTGCTGTGGCCCTTCTTAGCGCCACCTGCTGGCCACTTGGAAATCGTGTGACCCTCCTTGAATCCTGGCAAGAAAAATAACCTTTCCATATAGACAGTTTGTAGGCAAGTGTTTCTGCTGTCAGCAGGGCTTGAGTGTGGAGGCAGGTGTGAAGCTGCTTTAGGATCTGCACCCGGCATTTGCTAGGTGGTGGCAGATTAGATCCCAAGACATGGGTGCTGCATCAGATTGTTTCTTCCCCAGAGACCCCTATGCCCAGGATCTGGGGTTTTTCCTTTGGGCGGAATGTGCATTCCTTATTGCTCCGTGAAGAACAGAGAAGCTCTGATTTGTGCAGTCTTGTTTTCTTTTGGGGCCATACCCAGCAGTGCTCAGGGGTTTCTCCTTACTGTGAAATCACTCCCGTGGTGGACAGGGGACTGTTTGGGATGCCGGGGATCGAACCTGGGTTGGCCGCATGCAACCCAAGCACCATCTCTGCCCACTATCCTATTACCCCTGGTTTGTGTGATTTTTTTTCTACTTTTTGGGTCATACCCGGTGATGCTCAGGGGTTACTCCTGGCTTATGCACTCAGGAATTCCTCCTGGCGGTGCTCGGGAGACCATATGGGATACTGGGAATTGAACCTGGGTCAGCCACATGCAAGGCAAACACCCTACCCACTGTGCTATCCCTCCAGCCCCCAGTTGTGTGATCTTAAGGAGAGAAGGGAAGGACAATCCAGCGTTTCCTAACTGGCTCCCCTCATCTCCACCTCTGTCTTTGCATTGCCCATGGCACTGGCCAACTCACTTGCCTCCCTCCAGCCTCCATCTCCCCAGTCAGGGAAGTCGGTAGAAAACAACTGTTTGGAATAATTAAGCGATCTTGGCCCCAGTCCTCCTCCTGCGTCTGCGTTATACACCAAAGTGCAATGCAGCCCCCAAAGTGATTATGAGTCCAATAATGGGGCTATCATTAGCGATACATGCAACTGTGTGGAATTGTCTCAAAAGAACGAAAATTGAATTAGAAATTCAAATGTTCTTTGAACTGTGCTATAAAATAGTGAAACTTGAATGAAATCTTTTTGTGCTTGGCAGCCAGCTCCAGTAATTGGATAATTAAATCATTGGAAAAATCCTAGACTGTAAAGCATATCCTATTTGAGCATTTCATGTTCAGATTTGATGAATTATTTGCAGGAGCAGAAATTTGATGCAGATGCAGTAGGGTGGGCAGGTTGAAATAGGGAAGAAAAAGCCAAAGAAGATGATTCAGAAAACCATTCAAACTCATTCCTGGGAGTCAGGGTGATAGTGAAGCAGGTAGGGTATTTGCCTTGAAGTGGCCAACCTGGGTTTGTTCCCTGGCACCCCCTAGAGTGCCCTGAGCATAGAGCCAGGAGTAAGCCTTGAGTACTGCCTGGTGTGGCCTGGGGGATGGGGGAAAGAAGGGACAATGAATTCATTCCAGGCCCTCCCAATTTCATAGGAATGATCCATCTAAGAGACTAGTTCTTTAGCAGGGCTACCTGTAAGATCCCCATAAAGCTACGGGGCTGGAGTACAGCAGGTAGGGCGTTTGCCTTGCATGCGGCCAACCCGGGTTCGATTCCCAGCATCCCATATGGTCCCCTGAGCACCACCAGGAGTAACTCCTGAGTGCAGAGCCAGGAGTAACCCCTGTGTATTGCCAGGTGTGTCCCAAAAAGCAAAAAAAAAAATAATAATAATCTTGTGCCCCCAAATGGCCCTTCAGAAGATGCTGTGGCTTAAGAGTGTCTGCCTTGGGGCTGAAGCGATAGCACAGCAGGGAGGGCATTTGCCTTGCACAAGGCCGACCCAGGTTCGATTCTCAGCAACCCATATCCCCTGAGCATCGCTGGGTGTGACCCCCCCCCCAAAAAAAAGTCTGCTGTCTGCCTTACAGGCACCTGGGATGTGAGTTCAAGTCCTCCCGGTCCTAGGTTCTCGGCATGATACCGGCAGTCCTGCTGTCTGTGATCCCTGGCAACTCAGCCTGCTGTGTATGGCCGCCTCTCAGCTCCACAGCTGGGATCGGTGCATGAACAGCCACAGGGAGCACCTGTGAGCACTCAGCGCTCCCAGGGAGCACCTTGCTGTGACCTGTGTGTCTCAGCTAAGAGTATGAGCCCCGGGGAGCGCAGGCTGTGTTTTGTGGCCTGGGATTACGTGGGATTTGCTTTGAACCTACCCTGAAATCAGTTCCTTCATCACCCACATTTCTGGAAGATGTATTCCCCAGCATCAGCCTGGCCCTGTCCAGCAAGGGGGTCTTCTAGTTCCCAGCTAAGGAAACCGAGACACAGCCACTAAGTATTGGGTTTTACCCAGAAAGCCACAGGGAGAAGGTGGAGACTTTGCTCTCCTGCATCTGCTTTTTAGCTTCCCAAGCTCTGGTGTTTTGGGAGCCCCACTGAGGGAGTGCAAATGGCTGTTGGCCGTCACCCTGCACCATGGGCTGACGGGGCATCATCCCCTGCCATCTGGCCCTCCCGTGCCCTTCTCACTGATAAAGGATCCAGCTGTATTCAGAGGCTCTCTATGCTGCAGATGGCTTCCGAAGGCCACCAGGCATTCTGCCACCACCCACTGAGGTCCACTTGCTTTTGTTCCACAGCTGCAGAACCAGGAGCTGCTGAGGGCAATGATGAAGAAGGCCGAGCTAGAAATCAGCAGCAAAGTGATAGAGACGATGAAGAGGCTGGAGGACCCGGTGCAGCGGCAGCGTGTGCTGGTGGAGCAGGACAGACAGAAATACCTGCACGAGGAGGAGAGGATCGTCAGGAAGCTGGGGTGAGTGCCAGGTTCAGGGCAAACAAGACTTGGCTGCCAGCAGTGAGCCTTTCCCTCCCTCTTTATTGAGCACTTGTTGTATACCTGGAAATCTGTGGCCCTTTAGTGCTTCTTCCAGCCCCTTATCCCATAGTCCCACAACCCTCGGGTCACCAAGCAAGTTCTATTCAAAGTTGGAGTGTCTTGGGGCGAAGAGAATATAGCGGGTAGGGGTCTTGCCTTGCGCATAGACAAACTGGGTTTGATCCCTAGCACCTTATATGGCCAGAAGTAAACCCAGAATACAGAGCCAACAGTAAGCCTCCAGCGCCATCAGATGTGCTTCAAATTTCAAAATAAAACAAAATTTTGAATAAGTTGGAGCATCTATAAGTGGAATAAATGAACTAAAGTCAGCAAGTAGACAGTCACCAGTGAAAATAAATCCTGAGATAGGGTCAACAGAACAGTGAACTGAGGCGGCAGAGGTAGAGTAGGGAACTTCCTGTCAGTGGTGGCCGGAATGGATATGCTGGTGGTGGGGGTGGTAAAGCCACCTTGCAAGGATAAAGCAGTAGTACAGACAGTGTTGTCAATCATAGTCACTCAATAAAATACTGTTTTTAAAGAGAGAAAATGTATGGAACCTTGGGAGCACTCAATAAATATTCGTGGCTCTTCACTTTTTTCATCAAATTAGAGCATAACAGAGTAAAGCATACAATGAAAAGGAGCAAAGAGGAAAACCAAGTGATAAATGGGTGCCTGCACTTCATTTTGGTAAAGGAATAGCCAAAACAACACCATGCCAAAAGGACCTCCCCATGTATTCAATTGTGGTTAGAATTCACTAAAGGATTTCGATGCTGTGTATGTGTCATCCAGAATGAAAAAAAGCTCCTGGGATCTGCTGTGAGTGCTTATTGAAAGTATCTGTCAAGTACTGCTCCTGAAAGGGCTGTTGAAGGGCTCCAAGAGTGCCAAGTCCTGGGGTGGGCCGTTTGTTATGGTTAGGTTTACTTTGTTATGCAATGAGGAGGCATCAGAGAACTGTTTCACCTCTTAATGAATAGTAAATTCAGTTGGTTCTTCTGATGTTTCTTGGAAAGCTTTAAAATCCCCAATCATAATTGTTAGGGAACCACTGGCCCATGGTTGCATTTAACAGAAGTCTCATGAGAGCTGGAGCAGTAGCACAGTGGGTAAGGCATTTGCCTTGCATGCGGCCAACCCAGTCAGCCCAGGTTCGATTCCTCCGCCCCTCTCGGAGAGCCCAGCAAGCTACCGAGAGTATGCTAAACACAGTAACAACAAGTCTCACAATGGAGACATTATCAGGCCCACTCGAGCAAATGGATGAACAACGGGAGGACAGTGCTACAGTGCTACAGTGCTTATGGTGTACAGTGATGGACGCCAAGGTCCCCCAAAGTGGCCAAGTTAGGATCAGTGTCACACTCCTCAGTAATTCAGAAGGGGAAAAGTCCATGGGACTTACTATTTTTACCTCCAAAAAATCAAGTTTGATACCTGTTCATTGATACCTGAAACAAAGCTTCTAAAATTGTATTTAGTTCATGCATTTGCAGATATTAATCATCCACCATGAAGTAATAAGATTGTTATTTGTCTGAGATGTTTTTGTGATAGCCCAGTTGTCTAAAACTAGGTTTCAAGAAGTGAAAGATACTCTTAAAATGCAGCTTTTTGGATCAAAGAGATGGAACCTGCTGGTTCAGATTCCTTTCCCCGGCAGGCGTCTGGGTGTCCCAGTAGACCCCAAGTTCCCTTCTGAGCACAGAGCCAGGAATCATCTCTGAGCACTGCAGGCTATGGCCCCCAAACCCAAAAACTTATAAGTAAAAATGAATCAAAATACTGCCTTTTACTAAGCATTTTGTAAGTTTTCTAGTTAAACCAGGAGGAAGCCATGCAATTCCCTTCCTTTAAAAGTTGTGTTGAGGGGCTGGAGCGGTAGGGCGTTTACCTTGCACACGGCCCACCCGGGTTTAATTCCCAGCATTCCATATGGTTCCCTGAGCACCGCCAAGAGTAATTCCTGTGTGCATGAGCCAGAAATAACCCCTGTGCATCTCCAGGTGTGATCCAAAAATAAAGAAAGAAAGAAAGAAAGAAAGAAAGAAAGAAAGAAAGTGGTGCTGATTGGTCAGCAGAAGTTAACTGTTGGGCCAGAGCAATAGTACAGCAGGTAGGGCATTCACCTTGCATTTGGCTTACCCGGGTTCAATCCCTGGCATCCCATATGGCCCCCTGAGCACTGTCAGGAATAATTCCTGAGTGCAGAGCCAGGAGTAACCCCTGAGCATCGCTGGGTGTGACCCAAAAGAAAAGCAAGAAATAAAAAAAGGTTAACAGTTGTTTCTCGCCCCTTCTTGAAACAACACCTTGAATTTTAGCGGTCACTGAGCCCAGTAATCTAGCATAGGAGTGTGATCTGATGGCTTGGGGAAGCACGACACATCAGCCAGAAGTGACCAGGCCCCACGTGGAGACTTCCGATGGCAAAACAGAGACTGAGTTTATGTGTCGCAGAAGACAGGTGACTTGTAGGGTCTCGGGAAATCCGCATACAGGTGAGATTGCCTCCTGGCCCAGGAACTGGCCTGAAATGACTTAGTCTTCAGACGCCTCCAGCCATCCACTGCGAAGCGACGCGTACATGGGAGGGTCTCAGGAATGCTGTCACTGCATTGAGGTGGTCTGGCAGGCAGCAGATTTTATCCACAGAGACCAAAGGGACAGTCGGGGGCAGGGTGAGGAAGGAGGTGGAGGAACTCAACAAACCAGCGAGTCTTGAAGAAGGAAGGTGCAGAAGGCGTGGGAAGTTAACTGTTGTTTACCTTTGTTAACTATTGTTGCAAGATCTAATTTTGTCTCGATTGGGGTGTACCCTCTGTGTAGGCAAGGTGCCTTCCGATCTTAGACTGTATTTGCATCCTGCTTGACGGTTTCATGCCTCTCTGGGCTGTGCTGAGATCAGAGCCCAGACATCTGGAGGTCTGTTTTTTCATGGAAGTGTCTGGGTCTAGCCCCCAGGAATTCAGGGTTTCACTGGATGGAGATTAGGAATATGGGTTTTACAAAGAAAGCTCCAGGGGAGAGTCTGAAGCCTCTTCACTTCAAAGAGTGGTTGCCCTGAGGACATCCCTGATGTGATTTTTCCGATCAAGGAACTAGTCCGAGCTGGACTCCAGATGGCCCCTCTAGTGATCCTGGGCCAGAGCAATGGAGGGAATGAGGCCGGCCTGGTGGAAAGCGGTTGAAAGCAACTGTTACTGTCCAGACAAAAATCATTAAGGCCTGAATTGAGCCATCAAAATAATGATAAGGAAATGCAGAGTGGCTCATGGGGTGTGAGATGGTACCTGATATGATAGACAGCTGAACATCTCTGGAAACTTAGGAACAGTTTGATTTTCCTGCCCACCCCTTCCCACTCTCCTTGCCTCCTCCCTAACACACGCCCATTCCACCCCTCCCCCCCCCATAAACATACACACTCAGGGAAATACCTTCCCTTCCAGTAGCCCACTCAAAGTGCAGAGATGACATTTGGGTCAGAACTAAGGAAACAAATCATTTTTCAGGGGACTAAGGATGTGGCTCAGTGGTTGAGGGAAAAAAAATAGATTGCATGATTGAGGTCCTTCCTCAGTTCAATCCCAAGCATGCAAAAATAAAACCAATCACTGTTCTTTGATGGGTTTCTATGTGGGGAAAAAAATGGTTGAATTTCTAGGATATATATATATAATATATATATAATATATATATATATATATATATGCAAACCCACTTCAACAAAGAGAGCAGCTTTACCTATAAACAGTAGCATCTGTGAATGGGTGAAGGGCTTCCCCAGAGCCAAGTTGATTGGTTAATATTGAAATTATGTTTCCACACCCAGGGTAGCTCCATGATCTCTTTTACATTTGGGGGTGTTTTGTTTTTGTTTGGCTTCAGGGACCACAGCTGGCAGTACTCAGGGCTTACTCCTGGATTTGTGCTCAAGGACTCTCCTGGTGTGCTCCAGGGACCATATGGGATCCTGGGTTCAAATGCGTGTCTACCACATGCAAGACAAATGCCCTCCCCACTATTCTATTGCCCTCTTTTACACCTTGAATAAAAAAAAAAATATTTTGTTTTTGTCTAAAGGCTTTCCTCATAGCAAATATCCTAAAGGTGTGACAGAAATTGATGGTGCTTGGTGCTGTCATCTCATATGTGTAGGTACCATGACTAACACAGGAGAAAAAAAACAACATATGACTTAATTTCAGTGTTCCCATGTGCAAAGCAGCGCAGTCTAAGAGGTCCATTGTGGAAACAAGAGGAAAATAGAACTTCAGGCAGACTGGTGTGGCTCCCTGGAGTATTCATTCATCGCGACTGTGTGAGGTTATGGGCTGTTAACGGAACCTCAATATTTGTGTCTCAGCACTGCCCTCAGAAAGACCTTAAATGGGCCAGAGTGATAGCACAGCAGGTAGGGCGTTTGCCCTGCATTCGGCCAACCTGAGTTCAATCCCCAGCATCCCATTTGGTCCCCCTAGCACCACTAGGAGTAATTCCTGATTGCAGAGCCAAGAGTAACCCCTGAACATCTCTGGGTATTACCCAAAAAGCAGGGGGGGGGAGATCAGATTACATGTCTACGTGTTAAAATAATTCTGTCTAGGGTGGGGAGCGGGGAGAGATCATTCAGTAGACTAAAGATTTGGGTTCAGTCTATCCCTGCTATTGCATGGTGACCCCAAGCACCTCCCGGACCAACCCCCACCCCACCCCTGGGCAGCCAGCTGCACCTCTGAACAAAACACAAGTTCCATTTGGTTATGAAATGGAAGAGTTTTCCGGCAAAGGGCCCCTAGTTGGAGTGTGAGGGTAGAACTCAGCCCTTCAACTCGAGGAAGTACCCCACCGTCTTTTGCAAATGTGGGTAGTCAGTGGACAGGGCTTTCTCATAGGGTTCTGGCATCACACCATTTTCCCTGAAGTGCTCTGAGGCAATTTGAGTCCATTTTTCATGACAGCAGGAATCACAGGGAGCCTGGGAGATGTCCCCAATAGAGGGAAGACCTGTTTGGCATAAGGGAGCCCTGAGTTCATGGTCCCCTGAACACCACTCACAAAAATAAGAGGGAAAATAAAAGAAAATCCTCCCCCCAAAGTCTATCATTTCGTGGAGATGGAAGGCTTTGCCATTTGCCCCCTAGTCCTTGTCGGATGTATGTTGCCCTGCCTGCACCACCTCTCCCACCAGCTGCCCTGCCAATCACAGCTGCATCCCGGGTCCCCTGGTGGAAGCTGCCAGCTGCATCCAGGTCCCCTGGTGAAGCATCCGAGTTGCCCAGCTCTGCAGACTCATTCCCCTGCACCTCCTCACTCCGCCTCCCTGGGCTGCTCCCGAGCACTAGCCTTGCTGGTGAAGCGTTTTCTGCTACTGCCCCCTAGTGGTCTTCTATCTCAGTTTTTTTCCTGTTTGTTGGATTGTTGGATTGAGATTGGGTTTTTTTTTTTCCTTTTCTCCTCCCTTCCTTCCTTTCTTCCTTCCTTCCAATTTTTTTTCTGGGGGGTGGGGGATGTGGGAATCCACACCCAGTAATCCTCAGGGGTTACTCCTGGCTCTGCACTCAGGGGACCATATGGGATGCTGGGGATCGAACCTGAATTGGTCGTGTGCAAGGCAAATGCTCTACCCACTGTACTATACCCCCCACAGCCCCTCTTTTCCTGTTTCTTTTGGAGGCTTTGACTAGGAGAAGGGATTGATCTTCGTCTCTGTGTATAAGATCTTTCTGGTTCTTTTGTAATGCGCGCACACACAGATCACACAGATGTGTGATCATTGCTTCTCTTGATCGCTTGAAGAAGAGAATCAGCCAGTCCTTAGAGGATACACAGAGAAGCAGAGCTTCTCTAGCAGGGCTTCACTCTGAGGCCCTCGGACATTTAACAGTGTCAAGCTGGGGGCTGGAGAGAGAGGGTAGGGGTAGGGCCTTGCCTGGGATGCGGCTTGAGCCCAGTTTGATCCCTTGGCAATGCAGGGTCACCCAAGAACCACCAGGAGAGGTCGAGATCAGGGACATCGATAAGTATCCTAGAGCAAAGAGGAGAGTGTCCTCCCAACCCCAGCTAAGAAGGGCCTAGCCCCAAAGGCCAGGTACAAGGCTGGGAAGCCTCAGGTGCTTGCCCCAATATGGTGAACGTTCTCTCCCTCTCTTTCTCCGTCTCTCTCTCCCTTCCCTTCCTCCCTCTGTCTCTCCTCTCTCTCTCTCCCCCTTTCTCCCCTCCTCTCTCTCCATCTTTCTCTCTTCCCTTCTCTTTCCCTCTCTTCTTCTCCCTCTCTCTCCCTCTCTCTTCCTCTCTCTCCCTCTCTCTCTCTTTCTTTCTCCCTCTCTCCTTCTCTCTCCCCCCCTCTCTCTTGCTCTCTTTCTCTCTCCCTCCTCCATCCTTTCACAATGCTCCACTTCTCCTCCTTGCTTGGGGGCCACTGAAGTGGGAACAGGTATACCATCTAACAGCCACTGGCCTCGCCCCCAACCCCCAGATTCCCCAGACAGTGCCCAGGCAGCTCGTCTTAGCTGTACTCCCACCATGGGGGTTGTGGAGGCGGGGGGGTTGATGGGGGCTTGGCTGTGGCATCCAAAGGCCCTGTCTTCACTGCGCCTGCTCTGCCCCCTGCAGCGAGCTGGAGGACTTCGTGGAGGACCTGAAGAAGGACTCAGCCTCGGCAGGCCGCACCGTCACCCTGAAGGACGTGGAGGACGGCGCCTGCCTCCTGCGGCAAGTCGGGGAGGCCGTGGCTGCCCTGAAAGGTGAGGGTCCCCGAAGGGTCTGCAGCACAGCCACGCAGGCGATTCCTCTCTCCTTTCTCCCTTCTTCCCATTCCTCTCTCCTCCCTTACCTCTTCCCTCTCTTTTTCCTTTCCCCTTCTTTGTCTCTTCCTCTCATCCCTCTCCTTCCTCCTTTCCTCCCTTCACCCTGTCCCTCTCTCCTCCCCTCACCCCTTTCCTTCCCTCACCCCTCCCCTTCCTTCTCTAATCCCTTCATCCTGTCCCTCTCTCCTCCCCACCCCTTCCCTCCCTCCTTCTATCTGTCCCTGTCTCCTCCCCTCACCCCTTCCCTCTTTTTCCCCCTCCCCTTCTCTGTGTCTTCCCCTCACCCCTCCCCTTCCTTCTCCTCCCTTCATCCTGTCCCTCTCTTCTACCCTCACCCCTTCCCTCTCCTCCCCTTATCCATTCCCTTTCTCCTCCCCCACCCCATCCCTCTCTCCTACCCTCACCTCTTCTATCCCTTCTCTTCTCCTTCCTTCCATCTTTCCTCGCTCCTTTCCCTTCTTCCTCCCTCTTCCCTTAGTCTTCTTTCTCTCCTCCCCCGTCCTTCCTTCCATTCCTCCTTCCGTCTTTCTTTACTCTTTTCCTCCTTCCCTTTCTCATTGAATAAAATCAGCCAGCAAATGATGGGGGAGGAAGGGAAGGCCTGTTGTTCAGAGGGAAAGCCGGAGCCTGCATGTGGCAGCCCAAGTTCCGTCCCCGGCCTCCCTCCACCAGAGAGAGCAAACTAGAGCAGAAGCTGGCCGGTGTTGAGCTGACATCCCCTCGGAAGCTGGGAGATTTCAGCCTGGAGGAGACTAATCAGCTCTTCTTGGGGCTGAAATACGTGGACCCCTGAACCAGCCCCAGGCACGACACCCCCCACCCTAGACAGGAAATGAGGCCCTGGGGAGTGGTGCCCCCACCCAGGGGCCTGGTGACAGCCCAGCAGTAGGGCAGGGCGGGGCAGCCAGCGGCCAGTTGGTCGGTCACTCCCTTGCCCATACCCCACAGGAGAGTTCCCGGCCCTGCAGAACCGCATGCGCGCCGTGCTGCGTATCGAAGTGGAGGCCGTGCGTTTCCTGAAGGAGGAGCCACACCGGCTGGACAGCCTCCTACAGCGAGTCCGGAGCATGACTGATGTGCTGACCACACTTCGGAGGTACCCAGGGGGCATGGGGGGAAGGGCCGGGGTGCGACTCTGGACTTCCAGACTCTTTTCTCCATATGCCTGGCTCTGGAGCCCCAGGCCAGACACACAGCGGCTCCTGCTGCTGCCTGCGAGCCCGGCCTCATTGCCATCTCTACTCTCCCGTTATAGCCCCATGCCAGGCCCCCCGCAGTCTCACCCCAGGGAGACGCCTGGGCACATCCTGAAATGAGTGGAAGCTGCCAACCTTTTTGTTTGTTTTGTTTTTGTTTCTATTTTTTGGGTCACACCCAGTGATGCACAGGGGCTACTCTTGGCTTTGCACTCAGGAATTACTCCTGGCGGTGCTCAGGGGACCATATGGGATACTGAGGATTGAACCTGAGTTGACCTTGTGCAAGGCAAACACCCTACCTGCTGTACTATTGCTCCAGCCCCGAAGCCACCAACATTCTGGTGTGAAAAAAAAACAATTATGCCAAGGTGATTCTTGTAGTAACATTTGAAGTTGCAGAATGTACCAGGATATGTCATGAGCTTCGGCTTCAAAGTCAGCTTCACTGACTTCATTAGAGGGAGACAAGTGGACGAACGCAAAACCTCTCTTGCATTCCCTACTGAGAAAATGCTGGAGCGCTTGCTAGTCCTTCTAGAAAGAAAACCTCCCCCAGGAGTGTTTGGGTTCTAGTCATCTGCCCACCTGAAAGGGGCACGGTGGATGAAAGGCTGAACAGAGTCAGTGGCTCATCCAAGGAAAGAAAGTTCCAGAACTCCATTGTCACAGTAAAAGCACTACCAGATATACATGCAGGATGTGGCTTGTCCTTGTGAATTCTGTCTTTGGAGACTTCTGGATTTCTTTCTGCGGAGTGGGCACTGAGCTGAAACTGCTGATGCCAACAGGAGTCTAAAGCCGAGGCTTGAGATGCCAACAGGGCAGGCCCTGAGATGCTTGTTTGAAAGATGGAAGCAGAGGCTAGGAGGTCAGTGGTGGAACTTGGAGAGGAAGCGTTTCCTGCAAACTGTAAGATTTGAACTTTTCTGATCCACCCCTGGGTGTCGGCACCCTCCTCAGCTTTATGTAGCCTCCTCTCCCTCAGGGGAAATTTATACAGCCACCAAAGTTAAGGACCAGAGTGATAGCACAGCAGGTTGGGCGCCTGCCTTGCTTGTAGCCCACCCAGGTTTGATTCCCGGGGCATCCCATATGGTTCCCCAAGCCTGCCAGGAGTGATTCCTGAGTTCAGAGCCAGGAAAGTGATTCCTTAGCACTGTGGGGTGTGACCCGACTACCAAATTATTTTTAAAAATTAATAAATAATAAATAAGAAGATAGCAGGGATTGAAGCTCTTGCCTTGCCTGTGGCTGACCCAGTTCCGTTCCTGGCACTGCATATGGTCCCCTCAGAGCATCACCCAGTGCATCATTAATTGTAGCCCCGGAAGCTTCGGGATGAGCAGTGGGAGGCGTGGCTCAGGTGGAGGCGTTATTGGTAGCAGGGCACAGCAGTGCTAGCTGGGATAGAATGGCAGCCTCTCCAGAAGGGCCAAGAAAGCGGTTGCCAAAGACCACCGGTGGGGGGGGGGGGGAGGGCGATCCCCGGGCCTTTGATTTTGCTATGGAAACTCGCCCCCGCTGAGCGGCTGCTGTGCCTTCCAGCATCTTTCCAGCTTGCAGCCAGACCTTGCCCGGCTGCGAGATGGCCCCGTCAGGGTGCCGTGGCCAGGCTGACAGGCTAACGCCAAGCTCTGCTCACTTCCCTCCCAGACACGTCACCGACGGGCTCTTGAAAGGCACCGACGCCGCTCAGGCTGCGCAGTACGTAGCGATGGAAAAGGCCACGGCCGCTGAGGTCCTGCGGAGCCAAGAAGACGCGCCTCCGGGCAGTGCCGGGGTCCCCGGGGACGTGAAGTCAGAGGTGGTGCCCCTGACGGTTCACCACGCGCAGAGCGCCCCGGTGGTCATGCAGCCCTCGCAGCTGTCGTCGGCGCTGCTGAACCCCACCCAGCACCTGCCCCCCGGGGTGCCCGGCGCTGCCCCCGCCAGCCCCCCGGCGGGCGCCCAGGACACAGCCTCATCCCCGCAGCTGCCGGTGAACGGTGCCACTGTGCAGCCCTTGTTCATCGAGGAGATCACCAGCACCAAGCACCGGGCTCTGTCCATAGAGGTAGCGTTCCCGTTCAGGTTGTCCACGCACGTGGAGAGGGTGTGACTCATCGCGCGCTTTGTTGCGAGAATTAAGAGGAGAGATCATAGTACATCAGACGGTTCTGAAGTCTGGGGAGGGGACCGGTTAGGAAGGAGTTGGGTCACACTTGGCCTTGTCCAGAGGCTCTTCTTAGCTCTATGGACAGGTGGTGCTCAGAAGCCCATTTGCAGTGCTGGGGATAGAACTAGTGCTGGCCGTGCATAAGCCAAAAGAACTGGGGGTGCTGCTGGGGTGGGCAGGGGGTGAGCAGGGATGGAGGGATGGGAGGACATTCCAGCATAGCTGCCACAAAGTCTAGGACCACAGGCAAAGCTCTGTCACCAGAACAGAAAGGAAATTAGGGGGGCTGGAGAGATAATACTGAAGGGCTGAAGGCTTTTTTGCCTTGCTTGCAGCCAGCCATGGCTCAATTCGTGGCACCACATGTGGTCCCTCAAGCACTACCAGAGCCACAAGTAATCCCTGGGCACTTCTGGATGTGACCCAAGCCTGCCCCCCTCCTTAAATAATTGAAAAGATCAGGCTGGCCAAAAAAAAAAAAACCCAAAAACGCTAATTTGGAGTGCTTAAGATCTAGTCCTGGGGCCTGGAGCTATTGCACAGTGGGTAGGGGGTTTGTCTTGCACGTGGCGTGACCGGGTTCAATTCCCAGCATCCCATATGGTCCCCTGAGCACTGCCAGGAATAATTCCTGAGTGCATGAACCAGGAGTAACCCCTGTGCATCTCCAGGTGTGACCCAAAAAAAAAAAAAACTAATCCTGGAAGTGGAAAATCTATTTTTCAGGTATCAGAGAAAGGTGGTAGATTGGACACCAATAATTAAAGGTTCCATTGGAGCAGGAGGAGATAGCTCAGTGGGCTGGAGCACAGGCTTTGCAAGTATGGTTGCCTGAGCACTGAGCCAGGAGTAGCCCAGAGTGCTACTGGATGTAACCTTGAAACTAAACAAAGCGGCAGCGGTAGGAAATGTATCTGGAAACAGCAATCAGAACTGAAAATGGAGGAGGAAGGTCTGGATTTTAGGGGATGGATGAGAATTTATAGCGGAAGTCTCCGAAGCCAAGAAGAGGGGTGTCGCAGTGGGAGGCCAGGACAAGTTTGCTTTTTGGTGGTCTGCATTTCATGGAATGCACAGGTTTTGTGCCAGATTTTTAAACCAGGGAGTTGAATGTGAACATTATGTTAGAATTTCTTTTTGAAAACCTGTGCTAATATTATTGGGGGGTGGGGGACACCAGTAATCCTGCTGTGAAACGTGACTTCTTACACCCCAGAGCTGGGCATCATTCCCCACCTTCAAGGTGTGTCATGCTGCCACCCAGTCTGACCTGAATTTTAGGGATCGGCATTTCCCTTGGGTTTTGAAACTTTTCTCCACTTGCTTTTTCCCTCCAGAAAGCAGAAAGGAAGTGGGAAGAGAAAAGGCAAAATCTGGAGCATTATAATGGGAAGGAGTTTGAGAAGCTCTTGGAAGAAGCTCAGGCCAACATCATGAAGTCTATTCCAAACCTGGAGATGCCGCCCGCCTCGGGTCCACAACCCAAGGGTGACACACCTGTGGACAGGCCAGAATTTTCAGGTGAGGTGCTCACCTGTCCCTGTCCTTGTCCTCCAGCCCCAGTATGGCAACCCACTCAGGTGCATGCTGGCTAATGGAATCTGTCTCTGGCCTTCAGAACCCTCCCCGTTCCCTTCCTCTCATTCCTGTGGTGTCCACACGATGGTACTCACACAGTGCCACAGTGTTTGCAGGGGGTCGACCTCGTTAGTGGTGGTGCTGGCACACATTCTGGGTATCGTGCTGATGCAGGAGCCCTGCAATGCTTGCTCCCTGACTCAGGACATACACATCTTTTTCGTCTTGCTAAAAAGGATGCATCTCATTAGCTGTGGTCGCTCACACACATGTAGCTGTGAGGTAGCCAGAAACCCCTTGTGGCCCCAGAATAACATGCAGTAGAGCTGCCAGGATGCTGCTCGGCACATCTAGTGGCCCCAGGGATTGAACTCGAAACCTGGTGCTTGTAAGGTTGGGACTCCCCACCACCAAGCTACTCCTCAGACACTCCTTTAAGAACTGAAATGAAGGGACTGGAGCAGTAGCTTGCCTTGTCCCCGCTAGGTGTGGTCCCTGAGTGCAGAGCCAGGAGGACCCCATGAGCAACCACCAGGTGTGGCCCAAAAACAAAATTTTTTTAAGAAAAAAAAGAATTAAAATTGAAAGAACAAGTCCTCAGGTGTTTCTGAACCTTAGTACTATATCTTTTGTTTTAGTTTTCCTTTGCCCATCCAGCAGTGCTCAAGGCTTACTCCTGGCACTGAGCTCAGGGATCATCCATCTCTGGCTGTCACTGCTGGGTCTGCCAGGTCCAAGGGCCCTCCCCACTGCACTCCGGCCCACAGCTTCTTAACTATAAGCATAGCAGCACACTCAGAAAATGGAAAAGGAAAAATAAACAAAAAAACAAGATTTCTGGATTTCCCAGTTTCTGCTTTTCCCATAGATTTATGACACTTCACAGCACCAGCTGGGACAATATGAGACCTGCATTTCAAATGAGAGTTCTTTCTTCTTACACTGTGGAAAGCAAATGCCATTTTATGAGCTCCCAGAGGGATATTAGATCATAAGGCAAAATTGCGTTGTTTAACGTAAAACCACAGTGTCATATATTTCATCGTTAACCATGGACGTTAAGTAGCTCAATGTCGACAACACTATGAAATAACTTTCAAAGAACTCAACCTACTAGATCTCCACTTACAAGCCTTGTGCTTGAGTCTACTCTTAAAAGTATACACAGAGATGTAATTTTGCGTGCAGCCCTGTGCCTAAGTCAGCAAGGCCATGTCTAGCAACCAGAATGAATAGGCAAAAGATTTCTCATCTTGATTTGCCTGTCGATCATGAAAGTGGGCATCATTTAGGGCCCCAGTGATATGCTACTCCCCAGTGTGTATCCCCCAGAGTTGGACTCAAACCACACACAGACTCAATTCTCAGTCCACCCACATCTGCCCAGAGAGGCAAGGGCCTGGGCAAGACAGCACCGGTGAAACCTGGAGCACTTCAGAGGGGCACAGGGATCTGGCACTCTGGCCTGCTCCTTCCACTCTCCCACTGATTTTTCTCAGCTAGCCCTTTGATGTTTACCACTGTCAATAAATAATCAAAACAAGATTCATTTGGAGCTGGAGTGATAGCGGATAGGGCGTTTGTCTGCCATGCAGCTGACCCGGGTTCAGTCCCTGATCCTCGTCTCATCTTTGAATTGCTGTCTCCTTTCATTAGCAGAAAACCTTACCCAAACGTAACCAGGACACCAAGACCACTTCTCCTGGCTTTGTTTTCTGTTCTCCTCTGCTTCCCCTATTCTCCCTCTGGCCCTTTCCAGGACAGATCTTACTGAAACTTACCCCACTCAAGTCCCTCCTGTTAACAGCAGCTTCCCGAGAGGCAGAAGAATCCTTTGTAGTCCCTCCGGGGACTCTATATTTGCCACTAAGTTCGGATCTTTCATCTCTTCAAGGAATAATCAGCTTTTTTAATTAATTCTTGGCATAGCAACAACATTTTAATAATAGCAACTAATGATTGCTTAAGCATGTTAAAAAGCGTGTCATGGCTTGAAATGCCTTTGCTCCATTTCCTCCTCAGTCTTTGCCACCTCCCAGAGGAGAGACTATTAATACAACATCCATTGAACAGATGAGAAAATGGAGGCTGAGAGGATCATGTGGTGCAGACGTTTTTCCTGGAAGTTCATGTCAATCTGAGGGCCGTTATTAGGCCTCAGGGTCTGTTGCAGGGCCTTTCCTCTGAAAGAAAGTGACGTTGAAATGATGGAGTGGGTAGGCGGGCACTGAACTTCCTAGATGTTATCTCAAAAGAGATGATTGTGTGCAATGGTGCCATGTTTTTTCAGAAGATTCTCCAAATTCAGAACAGGATTTGGACAAGTCTGGGGGTAAATCACCACCCCCTCCACCCCCACCCCCAAGACGGAGCTACCTGCCCGGAACAGGGCTCACCACCACAAGGTCCGGCGACGTGGTCTACACCAGCAGGAAGGAAGTGATCAGCACTAAGGTCTGGTGGGCTGTCCTAGTAAGCTGGGCTGTGGGTGGTGTCCGGTCCCCTGGGCAAGTCATCTCTTCTGATGTAGTCACTAACAAGCACTGCATCAGACAGTCAGACAAGGCAGTAGAGAGTAGACTAACACATTCACCAGGATGAGAAAATGCCAGCCGCTATTGGATTAGATGCCATACCCCAAGTTGGACCCTTCTCTGACTTGGCTGCAGCCAAAGTGAAATGCAGAGTGCAAGTCTCTTCCTCTGAGAGGTGTCAGACGATTGGAAACGATGGTGGGAGGGGAAGCCAAAGACAGACTTTCTGGTTGAGGTAAGGGAGATGAACTAAGAACAATTGTGCCACTTCACAGGAAGATGCTGGGTAAACTCAGGCTTCTGCTCGACTTGGCACATTTTCTCTTTTCCGTTCGGTTGTGGATACAATTTTCATGGCAATGTAGTTTGCCTGGCTGAAAGGCACTGAATCTGGAGGGATTACGAGAGGCTTAAAATTCTTTCTTCACTCACCAAACTGCCAATTGATAGAAACAAATCCAAACTGAATGTAAGAGGACCTTAGGGCCTTTCTCCTTGGTGGGATGTGCTTGGTAGCTGTCCCTGTTCCTGGGTAAGTGGGTGGTCACTGAACCACCCTTGGTGACCCAAGGGTCCCCTGGGTATATTAAAGACAAATTCACTGCCTCCCCAGCCAGTCAGTGGTGATGGATGAATGAAGGAATGGAGGCTACCAGGCTGGTTGGTGATCAGTGATCATTTATTCAAGTCTCACAGCATTATAGAGAAATCATGAAGATTTGGGGGTAGCGATTGCACATAGGTGTGGTAGAACATTATCATAACAACAAACAGATGTAAAGTCCTTTCTTCAGGGGAAATTCTTCTTGGAGATAACTCAAGGACAAAATCTAAATGGTTAGCACTTTAAATTCCTGCTTGGAGATCTGCCCAAGGGCAGAATTCCATCTAAGGATGTATTGCTTTCTCCTTTTCTTAGTATCCATTTAAACAGTCATCTTAATTTTACTTAATAATATTTCTAGTCATTTTGTATGGACACAGTAGAAGCTATATTAAGCTTAAAGGGTCGCTCTTCCTGGGGGCATCTTGTATGGACACAGTAGAAGCTATATTAAGCTTAAAGGGTCGCTCTTCCTGGGGACATCTTGGTATATATCCCAGACTAAAGTCTTCAGGCCTGGTTAGTCTTTCCTAACCCCAGCAGGGTCCTTATTCAGTCACTTCTTTTTAGGTCATGACAGTTTGTTCCATGACTGTGCTCTTAACTTATACTTTTTTATGGCACTTAGCCTGTCCCCTTACGGCTTGTCCTGAGTCCATCCGAATCCCTCACTGGGACCCTCCTTTTGGAGTGTTAGGAACTAAGGGCAACTGAGGCTTAAGTCAAGTAAATATGACAGATGTCCAGGAGTAAATATTTGAAGTCAATTTACTCCCATGTTAAAAAAGCATAGCATTAACTGTCTTCCTGTGTCTATACAAAAAGGACATTGCTCTAAAATAAACTGTAAAGAACATAAAGGAAAGAGAAGAACAATATATCACTTACATATACAAAATCTAGAACCCCCAGAAAAGTTTTTTTTCCCTCAGAATTTGACTTTACAAGTCACAGAGTCTGATTTGGGGATATAAGTGATTAACAGTTAGGAGGCAAAGAGCACAAAGGAGAGGTTAAAGATAAACACAGAGGATTGGGAGTGCCTGATGGAATTGGCATGCCTCGGGAGCACTGTGGTGGGAGTTGTGCAGTAAATCTAAGTTCCCTGCAGGGGGAGAGAGGACAAACTAATGTTATTTCTTAAATGCTTAGAACTGAAATCCACCAGGAAGCCATTCATCAGGCATGAGAATTGAACCTCATTTTTGCTGGGACCTGGAGGTGCTAAGCCTGTATATTGGGTTTGAATCTTCCACAGGTGAGCAGTGAAGAGGCTGGAGCAAGCCCACAGGCTAGAGCCACAAAATGCCCAACGGAGGAGCCTGCGTCAAATTGGACCCCACCGCCACCACCACCACCTGTTTCCTCAAAGGAGGATGAAGAAGATGAAGAAGGAGACAAAATCATGGCTGAACTGCAGGTTTGTGGCTGAGTGTGGCTTCCTGCTTCCCGCTCTGGGCTCCATGGCTGCATCTCTCGCACAGGCATTAATTAGAGCTGGCAGGAGCACCAGGGACCCTCGCCATGAACCATGCATCTTCTGGCCTTGGTCTCCGGTTGTCCAAGCTGGTGCTGGACTGAGCTCTCAGGGTGCCAATAGGACCAATAGGTCTGAAGGAGGATTGTTTGAGAACACATCCCAGGTGGATGCAGAAAATCAGTTCCAAGCTTTCCTAGTTCGGACTTGGCTAGGTTTGCTTGCCTTTCTTTGAATCTTAATCATTTCTGCTCTATTTCAGAACCAACTAAAGTGGGCATTAGAAATTGTGCCACTGGGGGTTGGAGCCATAGTACAGTGGGTAGGAAATTTGCCTTGCATGTGGCCAACCTGAGTTCAATCCTCCGTGTCCCATATGGTCGCTAAGCACTGCCAGGAATAACCCCTGAGCACTGCTGGGTGTGGTGTGACCCAAAAATAAAGAAAATCGTGCCACCATCTTTTCCTTTTAAGGTTTGATTAAAGTCCTTGAAGTGGCTGTTGTATTTGAAGACTTTAGGATTTCCAGTGGTTCTCATTTGGTGTTAGCATGATCTTTTCCCAAAGGCCCCTCTCACTAAGATCCTAGCATGTCAGGGCTGTTTGTTGGAGAGAGTTCTTCTCCTGACATATAGATGGGATGGGAACCATCTAATGTCACCTCTCCTCACACCCTACTACGATGTGTCTTGATACAACCCAGTTTTGTCCAACTGGGTGACAGACTATCAGATAACTCTAACCCTAAGTCTATGCAAGTCAGTCACTCATAATGTTCATAGTAAAAGTATTAACGTTTAGACTTGAGCATGGTCTTCCACTGGCTCTCTCAGTAAATGAATGTCTTTGTTCTGGCCACTTAGAGACCCACTGTTCGAAACTATCTCCCTTCATTGGAGTCTGAACTGCTGTGGTGCTCTTTTGACTGAAAGTCAAGGGCAGAGTACCTGGCTTCTTGTTCTCTTATAGTCAGCAGGGGAGTGAAGTTTTAACCAACCCTGTGAACTCACTGGCTAGGGGACACCCCACACCACCAGACAGACTTGCTGCATAGAAAGTTAACTGGTGGCCTGTGGCCAGGCTCTGCCTCACCAAGCAGTTGGGTTAGATACCTTCCCCTTACACACACACACACACACACACACACACACACACACACACACACTCCTGTGTGCTCTGGAATCTTAGTGGACACGACAAAGTGCCTAACTCATCCCTTATTAGAGTAAGCTGGGTAGCCCTGGGCATCTCCAGCTGAGAGCACTGGGGCTTTTCAGGGGCCTCACGGCAGGAGCTGGTGGGGCAGGAACGGGGCATATTCAAAGGGCAAGGATTGGAGTTATTTTTCCTGCCTGCTGGGTTCTTTCCAAATGGCAGCATTTGATATTAAGAAAATGAGGCAATTACTAGAGATTGTCTAAAAAAAAAAAGTGGTCTTTAATCCTTGTTGCACATCAGTATTACTTGGAGAGTGTTTTTTAAAAAGCCCACAGTGTAGCCAGAGAGAGAGAGAGAGAGAGAGAGAGAGAGAGAGAGAGAGAGAGAGAGAGAGAGAGAGAGCGCACAGTTGGTAAGGTACATGCCTTACATGCAGCTGACCGGAGTTTGATCCCCGGCATTCCACTTGATCTCCCAAGCACTACCAGGAGCAATACCTGAGAGCAGAGCCAGGAGTAACACTTAAGCATTTCCAGGTTAACCAAAAAAGTGAAAACATAAAACCAAAAGCCTGCAGCCTGGTGGTTCTGACAGTTATTCTCTGGGAAACAGCATTTTTTTACCTGGGTGATACATAGCTGAATTAAAATCACTGATTTCAATGAAGGGATTTGGATAATCAGTCTCTCTTGCTTTCATGGTTGTATTGTTACTCACCTTCAGCCCCGGTGCTGAGAACTGGCCTCCACATTCTGCCCAGGAGTCAGGCTTGGGCTCAGAGAATTAGGATCACAAGTTTTCAAAGCATATTTCTGGGGTTCAGGCAGCTGCTGGCCACACGGAATCACATGGGTATTCAAGTGCGCTGCACTGTTCTAAACCTCCAAACCCCATGAGCACACATACCCGTGCCCAAGATGAATCGGTAAGGATCACTTTTATTTTGTGGAGTCCATGTTTACAATGTCTTGCAACCCTCCCTGCCCCCTGTAATTTCAATAAAACTGTTTTAAAATGAAGAACAGGAGTTGGCGCCATAGAACAGTGGGCAGAGCACTTACCTTGTACATGGCCGACCTAGATTTAATCCCCTCCCTGGAACCTCATATGGTCCCCCAAGCCTGCCAGAAGTGATCTCTGAGTGCAGAGTCGGGAGCGAGCCCTGAGCACTGATGAGAATAGCCCCCCAAAAATAAATAAAATGAAGAACACAGAAAGCATCAAGTTTTCTACTCATGACTTAACTTACATAATGTTTGTTTTGAAAGGTCAAAGGGAGAGGCCCAATCCATGCAATGCAGGCACACCCAGAGGGGCCATCTAGGGCTCTGTGCATTTCACCTTGCGGAATTACCCACCCCCAGCCCCACCCCAATTCAGCCCCCAACCAACCAGGTGGACAAGGAACAGTTTTGGCGCTGCTTGTAGAACCAGATGGGTCTCTCCATCTCCACATTCTCTGTTGTCCCTCTTTTCTCGTTCCACTTGAAGCCCTGTTAACCTCAGTATTCTAATTCCGTAGGCCTTCCAGAAGTGTCCCCTTGTGGATGTAAATTCACACAGTCATGCGGAACAGTCCCGGGCTGACAGCCACCTTAAAGACCCTAGGCCGGGGGCGCCAGCCCCATCCAAGGAGAAGAAGGTAACGTGGCCACCGCCTGCCACGCGCTCGGACGTTCCTTCTTTCCTGGCTCTCACACTAACCCACTGTCACGCTGCCCCTCTCTGTCCTTTGTTCCCTCTGACTTTTTTTTTTTTAAACTAATGGAGAACAGTTTTAGGTTTGCTCAGAGATATCTGACTTGGGTTTCCAGTGGAAACTCTGTCCCTATGCACAATAGCATATGCAGGATTTGGGAAGCCTCTTCCCAAACTAAATAATACATATTGGCGGTGAGGGGGGTGAGTTCCAAAGAGCTGGAACTCATATTTTGCATGTTGGAGCCCAAGTTTGATCCCTAGCAGTGCAGATCACTGAGCACCCCAGGAATGGCCCACCAGATCCCCTACTCCATTCTCTAAAAAAAGGAAAGGAAAGGAAAGGAAAGGAAAGGAAAGGAAAGGAAAGGAAAGGAAAGGAAAGGAAAGGAAAGGGGAAGTGGAAAGGAGAAGTGAAAAGGAGAGGAGGGAGGAGAGGGGAGGGGAGGGGAGGGGAGGGGAGGGGAGGGGAGGGGAGGGGAGAAAAAAATACAAGAGCAAATATCTTGCAGGAGTTTTAATAGAGAAGGGGCCAGAATGATAATACTACAGGTGAGATCTTGCACACAGCCGATCCATGTGCAAGCCAGGAGTAAGCTCTGAGAACTGCTGGGTGTGTTCCCCTAAAAACAAAACAAAGAGTTTCTAGAACATCTGTAGGAAATGTGGAAAACCTTAGTAGTTCTAGCGGCTCTAAAGGAGGTGCACAGCAGAGCTGTATACTGCCACCACGTGGCTGCTCGTGGAAACACACGTGTCTTTGTACACATGCTCTACAAGGCCAAGCAGGCTAGGAGTTCAGAATGACAAATTCTCAAAAGCAAGCTCCCAGAGGCAGTTCAGTCTTGTTTTTAGTAAGGAGTACCTCGTACCATACACTGGATTCCACTCTGAATCAGTGTTTTCTGTCTTTATGTACTTCAGGGAAAGAACTTCACAATTAGATCTAGAGACTCTTTGAGGTGTGGATAGAGAGCCATCTTATTTGAATAAAAACCTGTGTCAAAATTTCAGAATGAGAAGCTTATTATAACCAAATCAAGCATAGTATGAATTTTAACCAGGAACTGGTATTCCAGAACTCCAAGTCTCTAGCTTTTCTTAAATACAGTCAAATAAACCCATGGCCACATAATTCAGTCACTGCTTCATCTGGGACCGCCACCCATGTATAGACTCAGCGAGGGGAACTCAGGATCTGCCATGGAACGATTCATGAATCCAATTACAATGTGACCAGATCTCTCTTTGTACCAGGGAAGAGAACGAAAGTGACAGTGATAAATCCCATGATGAAAACCTCCTCTTGGATTTGAGAGGAACCCAGAGGATTGGCAATACATTGCTTTTCCTGTGGAATTTCCTGGTATGACCTTTTTAATACCAGCTCCTGCCAGGCACATCCTGAGTGCTGAGGCATAATCAGAACAGTGTGTCTCCCTCCAAAGACCCTGCCACTGGCAACTCTGCAAAGATCTCTCTGAAATCCATCGTTGACTCGTTGAATTTTGCCATTGACTAGAAAGTCACATGAGATTTCTTGCCATATGGTAAGAGATTCCTGTCTCTTCAGTCTCATTTCTCTCAATATGGGGACATCAGATAATAGACTGGTCTGTATTGATAACCCAACAAGTCAACTAAACCCTACACATAGGTTGGGTTTAATTGTTTAAGTGGGGAGGCGGAGTTTACTAACATTTTCCTGGTCTATTTAACTTCTCAAGTTGAATGTTTTCTTAAAATGTTTGTCCTCATACCATGAAGCATAAATCTACTATTTTCATTCCTTCTTATCACTGGGTCCCCAATTTAGCCTTACTGTCCATGTTCATGCCACGGGTGCTTCGCCAACTGTTGAAACAATTCAAATCTCAGGGCCTATAAATTGATATGGATGAGGATGGATTCCTTTGAAGCAGTCTTGTTGAAGACTGTCTTTAACTTGTGAAATTACATGATGATTAGGACCTAGTTACCCTAGGTAAAGTTATAAACTTGTTTATTAAAGCAGTTTTTCCAGCCTCACAAGAAAATAAGAAAAATGTCAACTAAGTAAGTGAAACCTAAGACTGGCATCTTTTTTCATAGTGAATTTCTATCAGAGATCCTGTCATCCCATCCATTTTAAAACATTCAATGTTACACAGGGTAATATTTGAATTGTGTAGGGCCAGAGCAATAGTACAGCAGGTACGGAGCTTGCCTTGTACACAGCCCACCCAGGTTCAATCCATGGGATTCCATATGGTCCTCTGAGCACTGCCCGGAGTGGTTCCTGAATGCAGAGCCAGGAGTAACCCCTGAGCACCGCCTTGTGTGGCCACAAAACAAAACCCCATTTGAAATGTGTGACAGTGGGTATGGCAAAGACCCTGATGATTCCAGCATGTGCTGGCCTCAAACACCAATAGACAGGGCCTGCAGAACATCAGCGGGTAGATCTCTTTGGATTTTATGCCAATCCACTCTGATGTGAGTCAGTTCTTACTCCAGTCCTAGCAAGAGAGACAAACTACCATCTTTAGTGGAACCTCATTTATTTTTCCTTTAAAAACTTTGATATTTGTTTAATCTTCTAAACTTAAAATACCCCCAAAGAAATCATGTCACCCAACCTCAATAGCTGAATCCTTGTCCTCATAGGGCAGTGGGGGATGGGGGGTGTTCTTGGGGGAGGGGGGTGTCAAGGGAAGTTATATGAGAGGGGTTTGAGGGCTCACATGGCTTGCGTCTTGTGTGATATTTCCATGTGATTCATGCTGACTTGGTTGTTAGTGTGTAATTCCTTGAATGTGTACGAACATTCATTCCGTGTTGGACAGAAGCTGGGAATATTGCATTGGGTTGACATTGGCTGGGCCCAGCTGATCATGCTGTGTTAGGTTGTTACTGTTTCCACATCAGCATTCTGGAGATTGTGTCATTCCATGATGATCACCTCTTCCTCTTGGGTGTTTTGCAACTAGAAGGGCAGCAGTGTTGGTGAGGCATAGCTAGTATGGCCCAGCAGGATGTTAGGGCCAGTGCAGCACCTGGCCAGTGAAGGCCATGTTTCCATGGGAAGGCCTCTCCTCACAAGTTCTCACCAGGAGAGCCTCGCAAATGCATCTTTGTTCTGCCTCCAAGAATGTAGAGAAGAAAAGCCAAATGGTGTGGTAAAAGTCACCACGTTAGCCCAGATAGCTTGCTTTGTAAACACTCAGATGTGCTTCTGACTGTGTTATCACTCTGAATTTGGAATGGACTTAGTTGGAAGCTTCTAATAAGCTTGAAGATCATATTAGCTCGAAGGTCAATTTGAGACTTTTCTTGGCAAGAACAATTACAAATGGAAAGTGCATTTTCAATCTGTCATGGGTCAGGAAAAATTTATTTACATATATTTGTGTGTATACATGTGTGTTCACATATATATTTCTTCATTTCACAATAACTGCACTCAATACCTGCAGATATCCTTAGAGGACAATTTCCATAAAGGAAACAAACATAGGACTAAAAGAAATAGCTAGAAGAGATGTAAAAAGGCTTCTGGTCTAGTTTCTCAGTATATAAGCAAGAAAACTGAGGTCCAGAGAAGTGAAATTACTTCCCTTAAAGTCACCCAGTTGATTGGCAGTTCTGGATTAGATGCAGAAACCGCCTGCCTGCTGATACGCTGTCCTTTCTCAACGCCACACACCCCTTCTGGTTTGAGTGCACTTAAGTTCCCAGTCCAAAGTTGGAAAGAGGACGGATGGATGCAGAATCGGTCCTTTTACTTTCTCAGCTGCTCCCCCCGCACTACACACACAGAATCCGAAATGCTTGAATTCTTTTTCTAATTGAGATTTTCATCTTGTACAAACACAGGGCATTTTTGGAAGTTGGAGAACAAAGCAACCCCAGGTAAACAGAGCTGTAGGCTTTGGACTGTTGTGTAGCACATGTGCTTGGCTCGCATGTTCTGGAAGTATGATTACAGGAACACTTTAGTGCTAGTCCACTTTGGGGGTTGTGGTGGTGTTGGAGTAACATGTCCTACATATCCTACCAGAACTTGGAATTTTTCCATGAAGACGTACGGAAATCTGATGTTGAATATGAACATGGCTCCGGAATGGAATCCGGAAAGGTGAGTTGGCCAGATCTGTGTTTCCGGGGATCTGAGGTAGATACCTTGTCTTCCTCTGCAGGTCTGTATCTAACTCATGCGTGTGCTTTCCCTCCTCCACTGTCATTCTCAGGTTCCCCCGGGGACTCTCCCACCCAGTGCTCGTCCTGAGTGGGAAAGCAGAGGAGAGAACAGTCTCCCTGATACATCAAGGACAGCAGAATACAGAAGCGATAGCCTGATGAAGGAACATGCATTGCCCGATCCCATGCTCAGAGACAATAGAAACTCTTCCCAGAAAACTGGCCTCGGGGTCAACTCTGGGGGGAGTTCATTAGAAGAAACGAACCAAGGGCCAAAAGCCTCTGAGCTGCAGTCCCCTGCCGCCAACCCTGAGCATCAGAAGGTGAATTATGGGAAGACAAAGGAAAGGAATCAACAAGGAGAGGAACATACGGATTGGGGTCTCCTTCCCGTTCCCCCAAGATCCACCGAATTCAGTATTCCTGAGGTCAGCACTCAGGAGCCAGAGGCTCCCAAGGCTGAGCTGGGCCATGTTGTACTAAGACCCAAAGTGGCGAGGACAGCACCCATAGCCCCTGCCGAGGAAGGAGAATCCACAGCGGGTTCGCCCATGGAAGAAAACGCAGGCCCTGACAACATCGCCTTCATGATCACCAAAACTGCCGTCCAGGTCCTGTCCAGCGGGGAGGTACGAGATATAGTGAGCAGAAAGGGAGAAGATGTGCAGACCGTGAATATTGATGCCAAGAAAGCAACGGATTCCCCCCAGGGAGGGATAGAAAGTGAGGAGCCCGTCGTGTGCCTGGACAAGAAACCTGTGATCATCATCTTTGACGAGCCCATGGACATCCGGTCCGCATACAAGAGACTCTCCACCATATTCGAGGAATGCGATGAGGAATTAGAGAGAATGATGACAGAGGAGAAGATAGAGGAGGAAGAGGAGGAGGAAAACGGAGACACTGTTCAGAACAGCACTTCACCCTGCACTGGAAGGACAGTCACATCCGGCAGCCTTAGCTCTGGACAGCAGGCTGGGGGCCCATCAGCCCCCAGCTCACCTTCCAGTGAGCCCAGGGGTCAGGAAAGGAGTCAAACCCAGCCTCGAAAGTTCAGCGCAGGCGAGTCTCCGGGTTCAGAAACCAAGGATGACACCCCCGATGACCAGTTTGAAAGCCCCAAGAAGAAGTTCAAGTTCAAATTCCCCAAGAAACAGCTGGCCGCCCTCACGCAAGCCATCCGCACTGGAACCAAGACGGGGAAGAAGACATTGCAGGTGGTGGTCTACGAAGAGGAAGAAGAGGACGGCACCTTGAAGCAGCACAAAGAAGCCAAGCGCTTCGAAATAACTCGCTCTCAGCCTGAAGACAGCCCAAAACACACATCCAGGAGACTCGAGTCGCCCGGACCCGAGAGCGTGGCCCCGGTTTCCAGAACAGATGAAATCCGAAAGAACACCTACCGTACACTGGACAGCCTGGAGCAGACCATCAAACAATTGGAAAATACCATCAGCGAAATGAGTCCCAAAGTTCTAGTTGAGTCCTCCTGCCCTACCAGCAGAGATTCAGTGGCAAGCGCCTCCCCAGGAGTAGGGGAGACGGCTCCCCGCCCCATGCTAGTGCTCGATGCTCCCTCTGCCCCCTCGTCCCCCTCGTCCATACCGTCAGCTTCACGTAAGGTATCTTGACCAGGTGGAAAGTGAAAAGACCCACAGCTGCTTTCCTCAGTCTGCAATAATCACCATTCCCCCAGGGCCTTGTGATTACTTGCTTCCTTTAAGGTGGCTCTCGTTGTTGTTGTTTTTTATTTTTTTGGTCTGTTCCCCATGACTCCTTTCTCACACTTCCTCCCTCACCACCCAAACAACTCCCAGGTGTCTAACAGCTAATCAACTCTGCCGTGATTACCTCTGGTGCTGACTGGTGTGGGGCCAAGGCCAGGATGCTGGGTCAGCCACTGGCTGTTGACAAGATTGCTCTCATACATTAAAATCGGTCCAATCAGTAGTGGGGGGCAGTTCTTGTTCTGTTTGATTCTTTGAATTAACCCCGTGGTGTCTCCTGATGTCCGGCTCAAGGTCTGTCCTGCATGTCGGCCTGTGGCTTCTCACGCTGAGCTTCTCTCCGCACACAGGGCCCGCCTCAAGACCACCCCTAATACCTGCCTCCTCTTCTCTTCCCATGTTCTTCCCGCAGGGCTCGGGTGCCACCCCACAGACCAGCAGGATGCCGATCCCCATGAGCTCCAAGAGCAGACCCGGAAGCCTGGACAAGCCTGGCAAGCAGTCCAAACTGCAGGATCCACGCCAATACCGTCAGGTAGTTTTACCTTAAACCCGATTTTGGATGGACACTCTTGACGTTAAGAAGCAAGTCACTGACTTAATTTATACCAAATACTGTGTTTTCTTTGTAAGATACGGTTTCCATAGACATCCTGGATCCGGGGGGAGGGAGGGGGCATGAAGAAAATAAAAAAAAACTTTTGTTGAACTTTTCACCCCGCTCTTGCATGCTGGCAATAAAACATCTTTTTACTTTGTGACTCCAAATTTCAACGGTTAACCCATGGTGCCAGACCTGGCGGCTTTTCTCGGGTAAACATAGTGGTGCATCAGAATAGCTCGAGAAACGGAGACAGCCAGCCCAGCACTACTCCGAGAGTCGCCCAAGCAAACTAACATAGATGTTGAGCCCCTGCGCCTTAGAGGCCCGTTAACCTGCATCATGATGCCCCGGCCCCTAGTGACCCAGACGCATGGTCGACCCGGAAGCGGAATTGGGATGATGTGCCTGTTCCTCCTGGTTCTTTTCTGTTCTGTGCCTCCTCAGCTCTGACTGGACTCGGTGTGGGGCGGAAAGTGAGGCGGGCTGAGGTGGGGGCGGCGGCGGGGGGCGGGGGGTGGGAGGTGTTGTTCGACCAGCTCCTGGCCTGCTGCTCACCAGAACGTCTAGCTCAGACTCGGAACTGGTTCGGTGTGGTTTCTGTGTGCTGGATGGTTCTTGGAAGGGCGGTTGTTGCCAGAGCCTGTGGAAATGGATGGTGTCTGCAGCCCTCTGACGAACTGTCTCCCGCCATCTCTGTTCGCAGGCGAATGGAAGTGCTAAGAAAGCTGGTGGGGATTGTAAGCCTACTTTCCCCTCCTTACCTGCCTCTAAGATTCCAGCCCTTTCTCCCAGCTCGGGGAAAAGCAGTTCCCTGGCCCCTCCCGGTGGTGACAACGCTAACCCCCCTCCCGCGCCTGCTACTAAACCCGCCGTTGCTTCTAACCCTCTCAGCCCCCCCGCAGGACGGCCGGCGCCCTCCGCCTCCCTCATCCCCTCCGTCTCTAATGGCTCCTTGAAGTTTCAGAGCCCCCCTCACGCAGGTAAAGGCCACCACCCGTCCTTCTCACTGCAGACGCAAAACGGCCGAGCCGCGCCCCCCTCCGCTTCCGCCTCCCCGCCCTCCCCCGCCTCACCCACGGCCCCGAGCGGGGCCAAGAGCGTCAGGCCGCAGCCCCCGGGCCTCACCAGCTACAAGGCGCACAACGGAAGTTCCGGCAAGGCCCCGCCCACGGCCAAGGAGATCGCCTAGAGCCGCCCCTAGGCACCCGCCGGAAGTCCCGGCAAGGCCCCGCCCACGGCCGAGGAGACCGCCTAGAGCCGACCCCGTTAGGCCAAGCCGGAAGTTCAGTTGGGGGGGAGGGGAAGGAAGGGAGGTTGTTTCTTGGTTTTCTGCTTTTTAATGTTGTTGTTTTTTTAAGTCTTCAGCAACTGTGTTCACAAGAAAATGTAACCTATTGCTGTACTGTTTTCGGCTCCATGCTAAGATGTGCTGAGTATTGAATGAATAGATCTCAGTAAAGCTTGTGGTGGTTTTTTTTTTTTTTGGTTGTGTTTGTTTTACTTTATTGCCGTTGTAATGACATCACGTGCGCTGTCTAGCTAGATTCGATTCCTGTGCAATGAAGTAAGCTTGAAGCGTGGCGGAAGAGATACGCGTGCGGGAGAAAATGTACTGAGCATGTGAAACGTGTACGAGTCCAGAACTTGAGTATGTTTTTGTATAAAACTATTTTTCATTACGGAGACTAAGAACAGAGAAATACGCGAGTGCGACTATACGAATTGTAAAACAGATACTATAATATTTCCTTTTATTTTCGTGTTCTTTAGCTTTATTACAGATTTCTATTTTTGTCAGAACTTCATGGTTTCTTTCAATATCTTTTTTGCCAAAACATTTTGATACTATAGCATTGTACATTTGAACGTAGTGTGCTAGACTAAAAGAAAAGCCAATGAACTTCTACCATGCCACCACAGAGGCCTATGTAGAAGGCAATTTATCAAACTTATTGCACTGCCATAAAAAATTCTGTAATCATTTGCCAGCCCAAGCAATTTAGATTTTTTTGCTCATTTTTTTTCCAATTTTGTCATATTAGGAGTCTCTGGTTGTTTTCTCTACAGAATCCCTTTCCTTTGATTTCTGAGACCAGATAACCCACACTATTGCATTGTGGATTTTAAAATGTACACTTCTGTAAACTGGTAACCTTTTGTAAATATATAAATAGACAAAAAATATACTGTATGTGACCACACATAGAGTAGTTTTCCCACACCAAAGTTAATTTTTATGCATGCTTTAAAGAATATATCTTGGGATGGGCAAAGATGGGACTATCCGTACATTTTTAAAAAACAAGTTTGCACAGCTAGAGTGTTTTTGTAAATAAATGTATTTGTATAACACAGTCATGTAATATACAGAACTATAAGCAGAGACTTTGCAAAACTAAATAAAGGGCTGCATGCTGATTATTTTTTGTACCTTGTCACTATAACTACTCCCTGGTCATCAAACAAAAGGCAGTGGTTACCAGGCTATATGGTTATGCTCTGGGGGCTTTATAAGTAGCGGGTAACCAGACACAAACTATTGTCTGAAAACTCTGGGATGACTCCTAATAAATTCATTGCAAGTGTGGAATTCTCATGTAAGAGGTTGACTGTCTTCTCTCTAAATTACCATTTTTTAATTCTCCCCACCCCCAAAGAAACTCTAGGCATTGACTAGGTATTCTGAGGCCTCTTGATTTTCTCTTTCTTTCTCTTTCAACTGAAGTAGAAATAAAATAACCTTTATGATTAGAATGGTTTTTTGAATTCTCAGTTAAAAAAAATATATTGTCAGAGGAAAATATATGTGGGGCTGGGGAGATAACTCCAAGGATTGAAGCCACGTGCAGTTCCCAGGTCTGGCTCATGTGCACTGAGTGCAGTGGTATCCGCCCCCCCCCCCCCACACACACACACACAACAAAAACAGCCCTGGGGGAGCTCACACTCACATCCAGACCTTTATTTCCAGAGGAACAGGCCTGGCATATGGTGCAATGGTTAGAGTTTAAGCCTCACATGTGGGAGCCCTGCACTTTCCCTATCAGCTCTGGAAGAAATACAGAAGTCAGCAGGAAAATACCAATCCTGCCAGCTGACTACAGGAGCAACTGCAGGAAGCTGCTTATCATTCATTTTTGTTTTCAGATCATTTCTATTGGTGGTCTCCTGTAAAGTATAGATATTCTTAACATTTGTCACTGGTAGCCTGCATCTCGAAAGAACCACCCAAGCCTCAGGCAGCAGAGTTAGGAGAGGTGGCTACAGGGAGTGGCATTCGGGTCTCAAGGGTACAATATTGAATGTGTAGGAATTTGACCACCTTTAAGAGACTGCTTTCCTGAAGTTCTTAAAGGGACTGGGAGATAATACAGAGGCGTTGGTGCATGCAGCTCACTGGGTTTGTTCCTGAGCATCATCAGTTGTGACCCTAGAATAGCACATCCTCAGACCTTTGCACTGAACTGATAGCCTGATTGGCCATGAGTGACCAGTGGAGCCCCCAGACTTCTGAGCACCATTTGGGAGCCCTCCACCCCCACCATAAATTCCACAGACTGGGTGCTAAGCCACAGCCACAGAATTACGGTTATAAGAGGGGGTGCAGTGTGACCCCAAAACAAAGGAAGAATGAGGGTGCATTTTTAGACTTGGGAGACTGGACTCCCCAATCAACCCCACCCTGGCCAGCTGAGGAAAACTGGAACTGTTTACATGGGAGCCACAGGTCTAATCCCCAGTTCTGCATGGTCTACCCCCGCCACCATCACAGGATTACAAGAATTGGCACCAGCCCAGCACTCTAAAAACCAACCCCCTGAACAATGCTATGGTTGGCCTCTGAGTAGCAGTGGCCTTTGGTGGGGACCCCTGAGCACAGGGGCCAGGAATACCACTCTGCATCTCTGGGTGAGGCCCCAAAAGCCAAAGAAAAGTAAGAATGAAGGGGACAAACCCATACCTGGTAAGAGGAGAAGGTGCCAGACTCTGTCAGGGGACTTGTAGGCTGCCTGTGGGTGGGGATCCCTCTGGTTGCCTCTTTGAAAGAGATTCACACGGATCAAATATAATGGGGTGCTTTGCTCTGGGAACAAATACTCTCACCCAGCAGCGCCCGGAAGCAGAATAGGGACTAGGATCTGGACTCCTTTCTCCCAACCAGGGGAGCTAAAAGCAGAGAGAAATCAGCCCCAGGTCAACAGCTGCGCCCCTGGGAGCTATTTAAATGCTGCCCCTTTGCCCCGTGCATAGCCCCTAAAGGCATCTAAAGCTCTGGGCACAGGCTAGTCAAAGGGCGGCTCAGCCCAACTTTTCTTCGTGAAGCAGAAATGCCTCTAAGTGTGGGTGCTTCTAAACAGGTTTCTCAGTACCAGGTCCTTCTGGAAGGGTCTGGCAGCTCGTTGGAGGGCACAGTGTACCCACATGTACTAAATGCCAAAGTGGTCACCATAGCTTGTAGACAACTAAGAACTCCCTAGAATACCCACAGTTGCCTCTGTGGCATCAAACAATGAACCCAGACTTCACTGTTGAAAAAGTCTGGACAAACCCCAAAGGCAGAAGGGATCCAGCCTGGTTTAAGAATCTGATTTCTGCAAAGTTCAATGGAGATACTCCTTCACCTCTGGAAATCCAGACGTCCCAAGTACCCCAGTTTTACAAAAAGACTCCGAGGGGTCCATCGCAGGAACTTCTGCAAGCCAGGAATCACTGTTTTTCTGTGGAAACACAGAGTGGGGTGCTACTTCCAGGATCCCCTACAATCACCCCTTCCTAAATGCTGTGTTTTAGGAACGCCTGTTCACTTGCTGCCACTTGGTGGCCATTTCTGGAACTTCCTCTAAGTGACAACAATCCCAGCTCTTCACTTGTCTCTTAACTGCCTTCCTTTCAGCTTAGAAAAATAGCTGCAAATAAATCGAACACCAACACACACACAGCATCATCTTTGTCCCCAGGGCCCTTTTCAGTCACCGTCACCAGGCCCTAGAAAATGAATGCTCTCCGACAGGCATTAAGAGCCAGAGGAAGATGCCGACTTTAAACCAAGACACAAGTCTCCCTGGGGGTCGGAGGGAAGCACTATAATGGGAGGAATATGGTGGCACCCCCAAACCGCATCAGCTGAAGTCCTGCACCTAAGTTCCACAGTATGCGGAGAGAGATAGTGAAGGGTGCATGGCAAAGCCTTCAGGCTGAGATTATGTCCTTATAAGAAAGACGGCAGGGCTGAGAGAGGGGTTTAGGTTCCTGCCTTGGACCAGGTCAACCCTGGTTCCATTCTGAGCACCGCACTTAGTTCCCTGAGCACCACCAGGGGTCACTCCGAGCACAGAGCCAGGAGTAAGCTCTGATCTCTGCTGGATGTGCCACTTGCCATCCATACACACCCCAATACAAGAAAGAAAAGACACAGAAAGCAACCAGGGCATGAGCTCTGACTGAAATCCAACTTTTCAGGCACCAGGTTCCTGCGGCTCAGACACAGGTGAACCTCTAGTCTGCCATGGTGTTCCGGTCACCAAGCCAACCAAGATAAAAGCCAAGTGGGACCCCCTTTCCAGTTCTTGGTGGAAGTGGGCTTCCTGAGAGGCAGCCCTCTGCCCACTCACCACCCATTGTCTCTGTTCCCCCAAGAAGTAACTGTTTACATCTCTGAATTCCTGGAGGAAGTACTGCTGTCACACACACCCCAGGGGGCTTGGGGTAAATGTGGGGTGAAGAAGCTGTGGGAACTGAGGTAAGTACGGGATGATGAGCCTTGTCATTCTGAGGGGAGCAGCCTCAGCTCCCTCGGGTCTGTCAACAATCTACTGCTGCTGCCACCACCACCACCACACACACACACACACACACACACACACACACACCCTTTTATTGGGTGCAAACAGTGATCACCTGTGCAATTAATGTTCTGGGCCTGAGCTGAACCTCTGAACCCCAGTACGCACACTCCAGGGATGTTCAGACCAAACCCAGGAGCCTGGGAGCACACGCTCAGAGCACCCATCTTGCAAGGCTCAGGCTGAGTATTCAGTCACTGGTGCCAGCTCTGCTAGCTGGGTCCTGGACACGGCGGCACTGCACCACTCTCAGCCCCAGCAAGTATGGGCATGAGCTCCCAGTGCCCCATGGCTAGAATGTGAGTGGGCATGGCGGAAGGGGTGTTCCGCCTGGCCTGGGTCAAGACATCAGCAGCCAAGGGCAGGAGGGTGCAGGATGCTGGGGCTGGGGGGAGGTTAAGGGCCCCTCCTACCGACCCCCCTGCTTGGGACACTCCCTCTTCCAGGAACAACAGGGCCAGTAGGCCCACAGGGAGAGACCAGCGCCAGCTCACTCACTTGGGGGTATGGATGTCCCAGACATCCTGGCCTGTTCCCTTCCTAGTCTGTTTCAGTAAAAATGCCACCAGGGGGAACCCAGACTTCAGTCCTGGAGGCTGGGCCTGGAAGAAGGTGAATCTACTATGGGCACCTGGCACCTTCCTGTCCCCCGCATCCCTCACCTGGAACCTCCCTGGCCCCTACATTCCACACTTGGGCATCTTCCTGTCCCCCGGACCCTGCACTTGAGCACCTTCCTGTCCCCCACACCCGACACCTGGGCACCTTTCTGTCCCCTGCATCCCTCACCTGGCACCTTCCTGTCCCCTGCACCCTGCACCTGACACCTTCCTGACCCCCATACCCTGCACCTGGCCACCTTCCTGACCCCCCCCCATACCTCTTCTCTCTCTCTCCAGTGCTCCACAATTTAGTCTTTCAGACTTGTGTTTCTTCCTGTTCTTTTTTAACTGTAGCTCATCCAGGAAAATCAGGATGAGAGTTCAGAGCCCCAGGCCACATCAACATGTCAGCGGTCCCTGTAGCAAACCCCGTCTTCTCACAGAGGAAGACCCAGTAGCCATCCCAGAGTCCCAAGCTGCAGACATACCTGGCACCAGTGGACACTGGGGTTATTTCCGGCACACAGGGGACCTGAAGAGGGGACCCTCCATGCGAAGTTAGCATGCCAGCCCTTCTCACTATCTTCCCCACTCCGTCAAGTTTTCACTGAAGTGATGAGACAGTCATCAACTACAGGTTTATAAGCAGCTTTCTCAAAAAGCCGTTCTGAAAGGAAGAAATTTCCAGCCCCACCCCACTCCCTGCCTTCTCCTGAACATTTCCCAAAGTCCCAGAGAGTGATCGAAGTTGGGTGGGCATCTTGCCAAGGAGGCAGGGAGCAAGTGGCTTCATGGGGATCCCTGGATGGCAGGGGAGCAGGGGTTCCCATCTGCCCTTTGTCCAGAACACTCCTGTGTTCTGCAAAATGAAAATACCCTGTAGAGAAATAGTACTGCAGATTCGGTGTTTGCCTTGCCTGTGACCGATCCAGGCTGTATCCTGGGTACCCCATATGGTCCCCCAAGGCCTACCAGGGCTAATTCCTAAGTGCAGAGCCAAGAATCTTCCACCACTAGGTGTGGCCTGAAAACAAAAACATGTAAATATTCTGATAGCCCATGACTGACATTCAGGAGAAAAGAATCTTTGAAATCTATGGCCATCACCTGCTGAAAAGGCAACCAAGCACAGTTCCATCATTCTCTGCCAT